CTTTAATCATAGTGAGAAACAATCTAAAGTTTTCTTCTCTTCTGAGGTTTCTGACCTATATTTCTGACCCAATTTCAATGTTTTCATGGAACCTTTGGCCCAAAAAATACTGTGGCTCAAAATGGACATTTAATGCAGTCCAAGCAACATTCCTATTGCCAAATCATGTTGGATTAACATGCTCAAATTATGAGTCTAAATAGCAAAAATACTGGAGTATGACTAGTTCTAGGTTGCCTGAAATAGCCACAGAATATTAGCTATAACAGCTGCCATTTCAACCCAACAAGATGAACACCAAATCCCTTGTTGTAATACAAGAGAACTGCGACATAATTCATGATGCTCCTTCCTGCAGGAACAAAGTGCACTTCTAAGGGGCAGCTGCGCCCTCTGCTGCTCCAAAGGATGAAGTATACTGCTAAGGCTGCAAGTCGCCTTCACTATTGATTAGCACTTGGCTATACGCTCTTTCTACTAGTATTAGAAGGGGAATTTAGAATTTGGTTTGTTAACTAGGTAGTTATCTTCTCCCATCTATTGCACTGTTTCATAGAAAGTCAAGAGCAGCTCATGGGTTGGCAATGTGGTGGTGCCCATGTGTACTAATTGGAACCTGCCTCCCACTTAAAAAAAAAAGTATCTCATTCTCTTACTTGTAGTTGGGATTGCTATGGAGTAGATTTCTCTTGGTGTTGAAAAGGGGTTCAGTGGGGTTGTTCAGTGTGTTGAGGCTCAGAGTCTAGCTTTACCTTGTATGCAGTCTTTTGGGTGGGCGACTGGACCAAGCCTCTCATAGCAACTTGTTTATGTAGCACCCAAGTCTTTTTCCCAAATTGCCAAAAATGTCCACAGCCCAAAAAGATTACCTATTGCTAACCTATAACAGATACATGAACACACTTTGAAGCAAATAGAAGTAGAAACTTACACACACATAATTTGCCCACAATTCTCTACAGATGGTCATCCTAAAGGTCACACAAGCAGAACCTGCAACAAATGTTACACTGAGAAGTGTTCCTATTTAATGCCCGTTTCCAGGACCCTCTATTCTATTTTTCCCACCTGGCTTTCTGTATTTTTCCTCCCAACAGTGGGTCAGCATACCCGAGCCTTCACTGGGTTCCTTTTCAGGTTGCCATTATTTCTCCCCTGAATGTTGCACTTCTGCAAGTTTCAGGGATCATTCAAAATTGTTCTCTTGTTCATTGTCATTGCTGTTTTGGCCCCATAAGCATCAGCACTCAAGCCCGGACATCAGAAATAGATCACTCAAACATGGCCACTGGTAGGACATTATTTGCAGTAAGAGTTCAATGGTAAGTGACATAGCAAGCTAAATTCATCTTATGTTTCTAAATGTTTTTCAAACTGGAATAATAATTATGATATAGCAGGGAGTTGTCCAAAGTTCCGAGGCTTTTCTAGAGAAATTTGTTTGCTAACTATTTCTTCTCTAACCCACAGAATCCAAATGTGTATTTATAAACTTACACATTAGCACTGACCCTTCAAACCAGGCGTGGAAGCCAAGATGGCTGCCACTAACTACTAAGGGGCATACTGAAGAATGGAAAACCCGGGATCTTCCAGATGCAATCTATGGATCATCTTTGGCATGTTGCTTTTGGAGATCTTGCCACTAGAACACCAATGTTGGCAAGAAAAGGACAGTGGAGGCTTCTGTGTCCAAAGTAGAGGCCAGACTTCTATCTTTGCCTGTAAATCTCCTTTTATTTTATGGACAAGCAAGTGGAAACTACACTGGGGGTGGGTGTGTGGGGATGTGTGTGTGTGTGTGTGTGTGTGTGTGACTTCATATGTGCAGAATCTCAGCCATTTCTTCATTAAACTGTAACAAACTTTCTTCCAGTGAATGTTCCCATTCAGGAGCTGCATCCTCCAGGCCAATATCACAGGCAGCCCCATTGCAATAGACCAGCCTTGAGGTTATCAGTGCATGGATCACTCTGGCCAAGTTATTCCCATCCAAGAATGGCAGTAGCTGGTGTCCCAACCAAAGTTGGTGGGAAAAAAAATCCTTTCTGTAGAGACCACATGTGCTTCCACAGAGAATGATTTATCTACCTAGGAGTACTCTGAATCTACACACCCGTTCCTTTAGAAAACAGACCTATTTTCTTGAACAGGTAGCTTCCTAATTCCGAGTTCTAGGAATCACCCAGTCTCACTGCCTCTGTCTTAGCTTAAAAGATCTTACTGTTAATAACTAAGCTGTATAAAATATATTTCAACCTTTTAGAGTTCAGAATGTTTTCACAAAAGCTAGGATTCCAGGAAAAGGGGTACAGCTTACAAGGGAATGCCAGAGGACCAGATTTGGACCACACACAGACTGGGTTTGTCCCCCAGCCCTGAGGTTCTGTACCCTTGGTGTGTGTGCGTGTGCATGAGCAAATGGCATCAAGGGCAGAATGCTGCAGCAGGGGACTCCACCATAGCCACTTGATGCTATATCCACTGGACATGACCCTGCAAGTAAGAACAGAGCCACTGTTACCAACGCCATGTTACCAACCCCCTAAGTCAGTCCAGAATATTGTGGTCAATCAAGTTTCTGAGAGATCAGCTTCCTTCTGTCTCTTTCACAATAATGACGACGGTGCAATTACACCTGGTCCCAAAACTAGGCCTGAATTCACAATAAAAACATTCTAGAACAGAGATGTCCAACCCGCAGCCCATGGGCCGCATGTGGCCCAGGATGACTATGAATGCAGCCCAACACAAAATCATAAACTTACTTAAATCGTTATGGGATTTTGTTTTTTTTGTAACTCAATTGTGCAGTTCTCGAGCGTGAACTTTGTAGATGTCATGTAAAATAAACATATGTATGCTCTCACTATTTGTAGACGTGTCTTCAGTTTTACAGCAGTGTGTGGCTTCTAGTGTGTTATCTTCCAAGCGCAGACAAATTGTCACCATCAGATGATACATTTATTTATTTATAGATTTATATCCTGCCTTTTTCCCACAAAGGGCTCAAGGCAGCTTACATCTCCTCCTCCATCTTATCCCCACAACAACAACCCTGTGAGGTAGGTGGGGCTGAGAGTCTGTGACTGGCCCAAAGTCACCCAGTTGGCTCCATGGCTGAGCGGGGACTCGAACCCAGATCGTCTGAGTCCCAGTCCCATGCTCTTAACCACTACACCACACTGTACATGTGCTCATGGTGACTTGGCGAAACATAGCTATTATATTATTTCAAGCTACTGTTGCACTTTTATACATTTCAACATGTTGGCTAAACACAGTCCAACAAAACAACAAAAAACAACAAAAATATGCAGCCTTGCTTTTTAATTTGATACAAGAATTTGAAGAGATTTCAAGATTTTCAGGAAAATAATCACTATTTTTGGTATATTTGCAACTCCATTTTCAGTTGACATAAATATGTTACCTACCAATTTTCAAATGAAATGCATAGAACTGCAATCCGACATTCAACGTAAAGAAAAATTTGATCATGGACTTTTATAGGTCCTATCTTGCCAGAGACAAAGATCTCTCACTTCACAATTACACCTTATTCGTTTTCACACCTACATTTGTGAGCAACTATTTTCAAGAATGAGGCACACCAAGAGTAAAATTAGAACCAAAATATATTTGAGAACTCACTGAACCTTGAGAACAAGAATTGCAACTACTTCCATTTAACTATTGATGCATTCGTTTCTCAAATATGTGAAATATCCCACTAGTTTTATGTTGCCCTTTTTTAGTTTTATAATAAAAATATTTAAAAATCATTGGTTATATTACTTCGATATGTTCATTTTCCATATTAGTGATAGCAAACTTGGAACCGTGCAATGATTTTAAGACTCTCTGAATGGGGTGCCGCATAATTAGGATTATGTGAGGAGCTTTTTGCTTATCTGTGGTGGCAAATATCACAAAAATTATGCACTTTTCTTTTTTTACTCATCAGCTTTCATTAGTGTTTGTGTACTTAATGTGCAGCCCAAGAAAGTTTTTTTCTTCCAATGTGGCCCAGAGAAGCCAAAAGGTTGAACACCTTTGGTCTAGAATTTTTTTTCCCCAACAGAGACCAAAGCTGTGCAGCCATCACTCTTTCAGGCACCTTCCCTAGGAAAGATTAGCACTGGGGCAATAGTTATTAAGCAGCTATGGATCTAATGTGACTTTCTTAAGGATAGTGCACCACCCCATTACAAAGTGAGCAATCTAATTTTAACTATGATAAAGTCTAAAATAAGTTTTTTACATTTTTTTAGCTTGTACAAAATTGAGCAGCTCAGTTAAAATTTGTGAATGGTATAGCGGTTCCCAGAACATAAAAGAAATTTTGCACTGTTGTATGGAGTTGCCAGCAATGGGGAACTGGATGTTGGACTGTTACACATTTTGAGATGTAGTTACTTTGGCAGCCACTTTGGATTATTGCATTTCCATCTTTGCAGCATACCAGAAGGCTGGTCTATAGTTTTATAACAAATTGTGATTTTTTTCAAGTCAAGCTTCTATCATGTCTGGAATAATTGTTATTAGCTTTCATTCAAAGGTGATTTAACCGTGTGGTTACAAGAGCAGGCTCTTAAATAGCTGATGTCAGTGTCATGTTTTCTGCTCAATACTGAACAGTACCCTTTGAATTCAGTAGCTCAAAAGGTCACGCAGGAAAAGTTCCATCAAAATCTCAAAACCTGGAGAATCTCCTTAATATGGCTGTAGTTTGAAGGGCATTATCTCAGAATGCAATTCTTAAGACATCACTAGCAAGCAAGCACCAGCAGATCCCACTTGAGTAAATACGCACAGGATTCTGCAAAGCATACACATTTTAAGGTCTGAAACAGTAGCTGACTCTGAATGTGAATCTTTAAAGATAAATGGTCTTGCACAGAATTTGTCAGTTTACTTGCACACGTGATTTTTTTAAAAAGCAAATGCAGGATTTATACTAGGCACATAAGGACTGGAAAAACCACAGAAGGCATGTGTATGGGTTATAAAAGCCCTTTTATAAAGCCATTTTTAAACAAAACCAAAAAGTTTACAAAAGAAAATAAGATACAGAAGAATAAGATGCTTAATATATTCAAAACAAAAAAGAGGGGGGGAAGAGAGAGAGAGGGAGAGAGAGAGAAAGAAAAATGAGGGGGACACAATTCCAACATGCTGAACAATAAAGGGTTCTTTTCCATGTTTTCTTTTAATACAAAATACAAGCCAAGGATACACATACTTAAAACAGAGCTCAGGAGCAGATATGCAGTCCTGGGAACCCTTCAATAAAAAGCAAAGCAGGGATTGTTATTTTTTTTAAATTGCAAGTACATACAGAGACTGGAATATGTAAAATTAAGTAGCACAAAAGACCATCACACAATTCTACCAATGCATGTTGCATCTATAATTCACGAACATGGTCAACAACGTCATGTTCACTTCAACCCCCCCTTTAAAAAATGCATTTTTAAATAAAGCATTAATGTTACATTCAAACTGAACTCCTAGTACCATGCTGCAGATTTCATTGTCAAGGGAATGACAACCCTACTGGCTATTATCATGACTGTTGACCTTGGCACCTGGGTTTAAGAATATTCCTTAAGTCATCAATCTGTCTTTCACAGCCATTCATGAAAAATCCCAGGGGAAGCTGAGAATCCAACAGGGTAGTGAATACCCAAGACAAATATCCACTGCATTCCTTATCAGCAACTCCTAGCTGATGCTAAGGATGTTTGCCCCACTTAGAGTCCTTTTATCTCTTATGTTTGAGAATAGTTCAGGGTTTTACATGGTGACTTGTTCCTAGTAAACAAATTATGTAATTCTCTTATATACACTTTTGTAATAATTGTTTCTGCAGGAAAAGTAAAATTCACAAATTTCTAACACACATAAATTGTCAGACGAACATCCACGCATGCACACACACATGCGCACTCACTCCCACTCACACAAGATACTTGAAGGGGTTTTCATTAATTGTGGCTTAAGCAAGTTTGTGTACTGTTCTGCCCCAAACCCCTGTCCCCCCCTTGTTAAAAAAATCCCTCCCCAGATATACAAAGCATATGCACAAATCTTGCAGTCACACCAAGCATGCTCAAACTGATGGAACCATTTCATTGTCTACAGTTTTGTACAGGGGCAGATGGGGCAACCAAAGCGTTCAAAGTGGCCAACACATTAAGTCAGCATGCAGCAAATGTTTGAACTGACTTGAAAAGGGGAAACTTCTGCTTTAAGAGTTAATAGAGACTTGAATAGAGATCAACAAAAGGTGAAGCAGAAAACTGAAATGACTATGAAGAGAAGGAGGAATACCCAAGGCAAGTGTCAGTTTAGTTTAATTATCAGTCTTTAAAAACATTACCAGTATGTCCATACCCAGAAACTGCCTTGTGGTAAACTATCACAGACAAACACAAGAGGGATTCACTATCCAGTTTGCGTTGGGCCCCAAATTCCACAAGTAGTTTCTTTGAATGCAGTGGATCAATGTGGGGGGGGGGGGGGAGATGAGAGGAGCTACCAGGTTTCAGTAATGGGTGAATGCAGGCCTCATAGAGTGCCTACTTGAAGAGGTGGGAGGGAAAGTCATTCTCCCTCACAAAGTACTAATATAACTTCCCAAATACCTAAATCATGGGAATCAATTTCCTTTTATTTTATAAAATCATGTGCCAACATTATGATTTGTTATAAAAAAATAAACACTCCACAGAAAAATTACATAAAGCAAAAGCACCGATTTCTACAGCTCATAAGCTTCCAGCATGTTACAGCTTTTCCCCTTGCCAAGTTCCACTCCTTAGTTTAGCTGTTTGTTGTACTTGGGGGTAATCCATTTAAAATCTATTTTAAAAGTATTTCAATCCATCTAATTAACAGTTTTGGTTCTTGGTGCAGACATATTATGGAGTATATTCAGCAACTTTATGACATGTCTAATGAGTTGAGAAGGGTTTACAGACCACCTGAAAGTATATAAAATTTCCCCTATCTTCCAAAATGTCTAAAACATAAATTTTATGTAAATAAAACCAATCACTGTGCTTAAGCTGCTTTGATTTGTCTTAACACAATGGACTGAACAGAAAAGCCATTACAAAAAGAATATTGGATATTCACTTTCCAGGTGTCCAGGCTTTCTCTTCAGCACTATGACAACCATCTAGTCATATCCAAAAGGTAAGCTTCAAATACCCTTTAAAAACCTCACTGAATGTTTGTTTATACTCTTCTTGTTCTCCCAATTACTTGTGAAACTTAAGATACACTAAACACATTTGCTTTTGATTTTCCATCAAATTTGCAATAAATGCTTATACTAGGATATTAAATAACCTCCCGTTCCCAAAAAGCAAATGATGTAGGGTGAGTAATGCACACTAGAGTATGCCTGTTTGTTTTCTGGCAATGCTTATTTCATGGAACAAAGTAATGAACTGATACTGCTATTGCATCCCTAAAATACTGCATTCAAAAGCAATATGCACAGAGAGACAGAGTATAAAACTGAATTCTGTAAAAGAGTAAAATGTTTTAATATAGACATTATTTTACTGCTATTACAAGCAGTTATTAACTACATTAGTATTTTCAGGGCCTTCTAAAATGTTTGGTTCTAAGATGGACATTAGCAAACTCCAGTAAAAGCATAGTTCTTAGCCAGAGTTTGGGTTTCACAGGATCAAGGTAAAGAAATCTGTTTGCCATCATATATAATATCTGATAGAATTATTTCACAAAATTAAAGGCTATAACTGTTTCAAATAGTCGATAATAACAAAGTCTTAATGACTTCTTCAATAACTATTATACACAGTTGTATTTGTTGAACAAAGGATACTAAGGAAAATGGATATTCTACAAAACAATTCTGGATTAGCAGATATATATTCAGACACTAATAAACAACTGGCTGACTACAAAGATTAGAGGAAACCATGCCAACAGTTCTACATCTGGAGAAGGTGAACAAGTTATCACCAAATATTTCACTTATAGAATGGTGTAAGACCATTTTGGACTCAACACCCTGAAAGGAGAATACCATCTTCATGCCTGAAGTGTCAAAATTATTCAGCCTTAAATTGGTAAAAGTGATTCAACATGGATTTACTTCTGTCCAAGAACAATTCAGGTTGTTTTCATGTTGTAGGTACTGTTCAATATACATGAACCATTGTCTAGATCAAAACTGTCACTTCAAACCAGGATGAATTTGCATTCCTCTGATAAATCAGAAACAGATTTATAAGGGAAATTAATTAGACATGAATATACTATTAATGGGGGGGGGGGAGGCCCAGGCTTAAAAATGCATATCTATGTTTGTGGGCAAGCATGTGTAAAAAAAAATGTCATTACTTACTCATCCTTCACTTTGGCTTTCCAATACTAATCAGGCAACCCCGGTCCTTGAAACCAATACTTATGAATTGCACCCACTAGTCTAATTAACCTTTCAGTGTAATATACAGATGTCAAATGATCTGGCTTCAGAACAGTAATATTCAACTTCAATTTGAATGAGATTACAACTGAAAGTGTTTAATACAACAGTACAAGATTAAAGCATAATGTAGGTGGCACTCCAACTTACATTAAATACTGCAGTTTCTTTATCAAGGGCAGAAATTTAAAGCTATTTTTTTTATTTACAATAGCCATAATGATGCAAGGACATGCCCCTCTCTCAAATATACTGTGCACTGGCAGGATATCCTATTTCACAATGCACCAATTATCTGCTACATCCCTTATGTCTTCCAGTTCATACCCTGTTCTTTGCCTAATCTCGATACAATGGCTTCTGATAATCAGATGATAACACCTGACAGTGAAGCAGCATTTGTTCTGAAGGAAGAAAGGGAACTAAAATCAGTAATGGACTGATGGATAAGGGCAAATTATATCCTTTGCTGGTAGAAGTGACTCATATTTTGATGTTTATCAAGGTAAAGTAACACTTGTTGAAACAGAGACTGCAAAATTATAGAAATTGTATAAATGGTTAAATTTGTAAAGAAAAACCTACATCAGCCCCCTCCCCAAACTTAAAATAGTAATTTCAGCTTCCAATGTCTCCCTGAAACCAGACTATACATTTTACACAAAGATTCAAAGCAGCATAGAAATATGAAAAATTCAAAGCAAGAGTTGGAAGGAAAAAATGTATTTTGGCCAGCTGGAATGCTATCCTAACCAGGAAAAGGAAGGACTATCAATGGCATGAACAGATAGGGCCTTTCTAAAGACTGAAATACAGAAAAGACCCAGTGGTCATTAAAATTACCTTGGCCATTAGAAATAAATTGTGGAACCCCAAACATTCAGAATATTGGAACGTAAAACCCTTGATACAATTCAAAATAATTCATATTCTACAGATGAATTTATGTCAACAGAACTTCTATGTGCAAGAATATGTTTGTTTTGGATTCAATTAAGCAAGTTGCCTTAGACAGTTTCCCAATTTGGAAAACCTATGCTATTTGTTAACTCTGATCCTCCAAGTGTCAGCCTCAACCTTATTGCTTTTACAACTGCAGTAAGCCTTCAAAAATATATCTTTAGTAAGTTGTTAATTTAAATCTAAATGGCTTTCAGATTTGGTTGGGGTGAACAGAATGGCCAACAGACTGCGACATCAAAACATTATTGTGTAAATGTTCTTTTTTAAAAAAAGAAGAAAGAACTGTACTATTTAAACAGCTAAAGTAAAGGTGGCATTCACAGCCCATGAGTCAAGCCACAACCAAATCCATGTTCTACCCCCTAAGTATATTCTCTTTTTCTTACTCTCTCTCAAAAAAGTTTCTCTCCCATACCACCGTTTAATCTTCACCAGATGGGACTTCATCTTCAGACCCTTCATCCTCAGATTTGTCTGGACGAGTACTAGCAGATTTCTTCTTTCGTGGAGGACTTTCAGGCTCATATTCATCCTCATCTTCATCCTCTTCATCATCTTTTGGGGATGGTGTCTTTTCTTTCGATGTCTTTGAAGCTGTGGATCGGCCTCCCTTCCCTTTACCCTTCACTGGACTAGGTGTAACTGAAGGAAGAAAAGGTAACAAAGCATCTTACAATTAATAAATAAGATCAAGTCCTGGGCACACAATCCATACATAAGTAGGTTTTTCCCTATTTCTTAAAACTGCTGTCTAGTAATCTAGGAACAAGACTGCAATACTGCTACTGAACAAAGCATGCACTGGTGTGAAATCCTTATGCAGAAGAATTTGTAACAGGGTTAACACAAAAGTATGCAATATATTTGAGCTCCTTGTCTGTTGTGTTTCAGCAACCCAGTGTGCTCTTGCTTGCATTCTACCTTCAAAGTGGCATCAAGACTCTTAGAACTGAGGCTTGCCTTTCAAGTCTTCTCAACAAGTATGAGCGCCAAAAATTATGATAAAAGCAGTTTTCATACAGAATGACTTCTGCTTCTACTGTAAGGATTAACTCTTAAACACATAAGGGGCTTAAAGTTAGAAACATTGTTTCATCTCCCTCCCTCTCAATATGTTAATCAAATATACCTGTGTTTCAAGCAATTCTTTCCAAAACAGTAATTAAAACCAAGTATTCAAATAGACATTTCTACCCAGTTTTCTAAAGACAATGTTTAACCAAATTAGTACAGTTTTTCAAGATGTGCATAGCAGTGGGTAAATCTGGACTTAAGTCAGAATTCACCGTCTCAGTTTCATTTGTAATGGAATGAAAGGAAATATGGTAGGGCACAGACATCACCAAGCAAGCATTTCGAACACAACAATGGCAACCAAGCAGATATTCCAGATTACTCCTTTCTTTGAAAATTTGGAAAAAAGACCTATTCCAAAACACTGATAACCATACAGCTCTACAATATTAAAAGGCATGCAATGATGTGAAATTGAAAATGGCTTGACTGAAGTAATTTGATTCATATTATTTTAAGCACAAGGTATGAAAAGCTGAGAAAACATACACTTGCAAATCAAACTCCATTATGTCATTCCTAGCAGAAGCACTTTTAAGGTTATCTGAGCTCACCTGTAGCCTTTAGCCTTGGTTTAGGCATTTTCTTTTCTTTCCTTTCTGGTTTGGATTTCTTAGCCACTTTTTTGTTCTTCTTTTTTGAACTGCCATAGTCACTATCATCATCATCATCTACAAGGAAATCTTCATCGCTGCCAGAATCTTCTGTGCAGAGAGAGAGGAATGAAATGTCTCTAAGAAGGGTTGTCCTTGTTCACTTGGAAGAGAGACAGAATGAGGGAGAGAGTCTGGTAGGTTGATCAAGGGATAGGAGTCAGCATACTTGGCTTCTGCATCTTGAACAGAATTTGCTAGAATCTGGAGAAATCATGACTTCTATGTCTCTGTATTTCCTTACATAAATGTAATGACTTGTGAAAAGTGGCATATTATTTAAAATAAACACACACACACACACACACACACACAGAGGCAAATTTCTCCTCCCACAAATTGCCCAGAATCAGACTAACATTTCCCTATACCAGCTGTTGCAGATTCTGTATCAACACCCTTCCCAGCCTGTTATGATTGCTCTTATTTAATATGGTCTTTTATCTTGCAGAAAACTGTAAAAGCACTCTCTGGTGCCAATGCCAGTGGTGTATTATGTATGGCATAGCGATACCTTACTGCTTCCTATAATAGGAGTTCCAGGTTTTGAATTCTGGTGTCCATGATTCTAGTTCACTGATTCACTGGGTTTCTATTTGAACATGGCAAATTTCATGAGTCCCCGTCTTTTGTCATTCATAACAAATACCTGTCATTCATCCAACAGTCAAACTAGAGAGCAATATTTAAAATGCAGATATTTTAACACATACTTTGAAACTTTGGGGTTAACTAAATAAGAACATGAGGGTATCTGAAGCCCTTTAACATAGGACAGAATATTGGTCTGTTTAGTCTGTTGTCCAAGGTTGAAGATAGAACAGTGGCTATTATGGTAAGTTTGTCTTTGATGATGGAAATACTGCTCAAAAACTTCTCTTACATCTAAAAGGTCTTGACTGAAGGGATGGGCTTTCTTCTTCTCTCTCTATTGCTAACAGACAAAACTGATACATTAAAAATGGGTAGCACTCAATGTCCAAGAAGCTGAAACAGCAGGTTTACTTGTCTGGGCAACTTAACCAGGACACAGTATCAAACACAGTGTAGTTTATCAAGCTTATTCCTATTCTCCATGTGTGTGTGCACCATTTAATGCCACTTACTTTCTTGGAATGCTGCCTCTTCTTCTTCCTGATCTTCCTCCTCACTGCCCACATCATCCATGAGCATTTCTCGTTGCTTGGAAGCAGCCTTAGATGCTGCCTGTCGCTGCTGACGCACATTTTTGTGGTCTTCTTTCTCATCCTCACTGTCCTCTGTTACAAAGTCACCAGAAAGCAATGAAAATGGACAGTTTAGCAGACATTCCCAACTAGCAACAAGGAAAATACTAGGCAGAAATAAAAGTCTGTCTATGATGTAACTGAGATTTGTTGTACACCAAATATTTGAAAGCGTCTAATTTGTGATGTCTCAATCCAAGATACCAATCTGTAAAGTTAATAGAACATCCAGCATTGGTTAACATGCTGCTTTCCAGCTTGTAAGTCAGAAGGCAAACTAATTATTGTGACATATCTTCACTCAGAGCACACTGTTCCTGTCCTTTCTATGGCTCTCTCATCTTAGTAAAGATATGTGGGATATACACATATGAAAAATATGAACAAAAACTGAGAGTTAAAACTGAGACTAAGAATACTGGGGTAATGGCAATTGGCTAGATCCACTTTTAACCTCCAATCTACCCTGTGTGTGAGAATAAAATGCCTTCAGTCTCCACAATGTCTCAAACAACTTATTTAGAAGTAGTTCAAGTCTCACTTTGCATATCCATCCTCACAGTTAATATGAATGTTTGCTTATATAAGCCGAGTTGCTTATTTTCCTCAGTTTTTTCCTAAAATAAATTGGTTTAAATCCAGTTTTGCATGACATACAACAGGACCTCTGTGTCCTCTCGTCCCACTGCAACCTTCCAAATCTGTTCTACAGGCTCCCCCAACCCTATACAACAGACTGGGCAGCAGGTGGTGCTGGCAGGTTGCTGGGTATGGGGAGAGAGAATTCCACCAGCAGCTTCCATTCCACAAGTGGCATCACTGAATCCAAGATATCTGAATATGTCTATACAATATCTTAGTAGCTGTTAACATGTATTTAGTATGCTATTTGCATTGTTTCCCTATTCAAATAGGAAAACTCAACTTTCAGAGAGTAAAGAACTTCATTTACATATTCATTACCTGCAGCTCTTTTCCTGGATTTGGAAGATGCTCTTTTGTTCTTCTCAGGTTTGACTTTTTTTCCTTTTTTATTCTTTTGTGAACTCTCATAGTCACTATCAGCTTTGCCATCATCTGCTCCTAAGTCATCTTCACTACCAAAATCTTCATCTGAGAGAAAACAATGGGGAAAATGACTTTTAGATGTCTATCTACTACAGGGAAACACATAATAAGGCTCTGTGTCAGGAGTTGGTGCTAAATAAACAGTGAGCAAGTGCAGAACAAAAACAAAATGAGTTCAATCCTATTATGATTTCAGGCAGGGTGCATTAAGACTTTTCAGGCTGAAGTAATGGTACGGCAGTAAACTGCATATTCTGATACAGATGCCATTATTTTATTTGTTACATTCTTACAGCACCCAATAGCTGAAGCTTTCTGGATGGTTCACAACAACTGAAACTATAAAATACATTCTCCTTCAGTTGGTTAACTGATGGGATACAAAATCTTTCAGCTCAAGCTGAATTCCATCCTGCAGAAGGTTGGGTGGGGGGAGGGGGGCATTCCAGTAGTGGAAGCAATGGGAAAAGGGCCAAAAGCTAAAGGTACAGGACCAAAATACCAAAAATGCCAGTGTTAAAGCTCTTACAGTTAGTAATTATAGCCTTAGCATAGAAGTTGTATTTCAACTTCTTAGAGTTAAGAAAAAGCTTGATAAAATCCAGGAAATCACCAAACCATTGGTGACTGGGGGAAAGGGAGGGAGTGGGGCTGGGCAAAGGATCATGGCCATTTGAGGACTCTTGGGGAACCAAATCGAAACACCCCCCCCCCAAGAGGGCTGTGTGTGGTCCCCAGACCTGATGTTCTCCACCTCTACTGTATGATACACATGACTACCTGCTGAATGTGAATCGTCTCTCTTTGTCTTTATATCCTTTTCTGAGTCCTCACTGTAAAAAGGAAAACAAATTTCAACAGTTCTACTTTATGTACTGTCACAGATTATTTAAGTATAGTGTCTTCTGAGAGTAGAAGATATCTCTATGGTAGGAAAAGGACGAAAGCAGTTAGATTGCATCACCTGAACAAAAGGAATTGACTATACCTGTTCTTAATTCTGTGGAGTTTTACTATTCTCTCTGAAACATCATCTTCCAAAGTACTTTTAAATGATATTATTCTAAGGACAACGATCCATTTCACTTAATTGCTAAAACAATGATAATACTTCCCAAGGTGTTACACAGGATGCTAAGGGAGACAAACTGCAGTTTAACTATAAAGTCTGCACACCAAGTTTAATAACACCCTATGTTGTTCAGAACTGGAGCAACACTGTAAAAACTGATTTACAAGGTGAACATTTAAACATTTAGGCAAAATAACTGTGAAACAAGAGTTGCAAGGAATTTAACATTAGACCGTAACAAATAAAAAACACACTGCACAAATTATAATGTGCAGCTTGTGTGCAACTTTAACTTTTGTCCTTTTCCTTCTTGGGCTGTTAAGGGAAAAGGAATCTACTTCTTCAAGCACTGATATGGTAAAAAGGAATAAATCATCTTATCAAACATCATACCCATTTAAGGATAATGTAAAACTTACACTCACAGTATTTCACAAACCCTTCTATACTTTACACAGGGGCTGGGAATCTGGCCAGATTCAGTCAGCAGCCTCACCCCCATGGTCCTATGCAGCTTCTTTAGTCTGCCATGCAACTTACAATGCTTCCCCCTAACTGAGTGCTTCCCTCTCATCCTTCCTGATGGAAGGGGAAGGAGTGGAAAAAGTGTGTTCTATTAATGGTTCCTATCATATTATGCATTTTCTACAAACAAATGCTCTCATTCCCTTTCCCTCATACTTCTCAGATCTCCTTAATCCATTCTCATAGGGAAGGGAACAGGAAAAGCCTTGTACAACATGCCAGAATAATGTGGAGGGAGCTTCCACTATATTTAGCTAAAAGCCTTCACACCATTTCTCAGTTCCGGAGGAGAATGAGAAAAGAGTGGTAGAGGTATGTGTGTGTTTGTGTGTGATGGATGGAGATAAAGAATGTGTAGTGATGGTCCTGAGAAAGAGTATGGGCTGGCTTGGGCCCAGATCACAGCCAGCATAAAGCCCCTGACATATTAGTCCTGCGATAATGGCACTTCTCAATGAAAAAAGACAGTCCTGCTTAACTCCCTACAGAAGATATTACTGAGAACTTTGATATAGTTTCATATCTAGATAGCAGTGACAAAATATTTTATGTCTATATTCTCTGTAACCAGACTAAGGGAAGAGAAGTTTCATGTTCAATTAGTTAAGTAAGCTTGTCCAGCAAGTGACACTTTCAGAAGCAATGTACTTCAGTGGAAGGAACAATGCCTTGAATAGTACTCCTGGTACTAAAGACTTTTAGTTTGAAGTCCATAACGTGTATTACACAGGCTGTCTCACTGGTTGTCTTTTTCAGACCAAGCGCCTGCCATTATTGTCAGAAAATTGCAGTGCAGAACATTCTAGCATATGTCTCTAGTTACAAAGCAGGGGAGAACACAGAAACCTACGGAGTAACTTAGAACTGTTACATTGGTGAGCCAAAACCAGGGAACAATGGTTTTATAGCCCTATCTCATTCATGAAGTACTCCAAGCCACATGGGGTTTTCAATTCTCCTATCTCATTGTGCACCAATCAGCAGGGAAGGACACAGTAATGCAAAAGTTAAAAAGACTAGGAAGCAGCATTTCTGTTGTTAGAGTGGTGGTTGTTTTAGATTGCCAGCTTTCCTGCCTGCAGAAGTCAGTGGAGAGGGGACAGAGGAGTTCTTCAAAAGCAGCAAAGTGCTTTTCCAAGGAACCCTATATTTATTATTAATTCCAAGATAATTTTCTAATTTACTTATATCTAGGGCTCCTTCCAAACAGAGAACTCCTTTCACTAACAAAAGACATCATTTAGCTCTGGGATAGGCAGATATTTAAGTTTCTTTAAAAAGTAAAAGCATTTTTAAAAAATGGTATGCTGCAAAAGTGTTGTGCTTCAGCAGTATCTTTATTTGGATGGAAGGGAGTGAATGCCTTTCGAAGCTCAGTTTCCATCTCCAACTTGTACTTAGTTCTTGGGCAAGTTACAGCTCTCACTAGTTTGCCTCCTGGGAAAATAATGCTTTGTGAGTGCTCATACCCATAAAGCAAGTGTTTTATAAATATGACACTCCCCCTTGACAGCCATTTTGTGAGAGTGCCATGGTATTCTCAAATTCCAATTCTGCTCGCTGACTTAAAAAGTTAGGAAGTCTACTATTACATCTTTTTCTCCTTGAGGGTTTTTTGTTTGTTTGTTTTGTGAAAAGGAAAAAGAAGCATGGGAAACCCCAGAAGGGTTACAAGTGGAAGACAACACTATATGAAATCCACAACACATAATCGCAACGTGCACTAGACAAAGGCAGAAGCCCAAATATGGAAGCCAGAAGCTAAAGAAAATTACCCAGTGACAGTTAAAATAATTTAAAAGAGCAAAACACATCCAAGCCACCATAAAAACAAAAAGTGAAATCTTAATGTTAATATGTAAATGTATTATTATATTAAAATGTTTGGGGAAAGAGAAAGGTATTTGCTTGATTCAAGAAAGGTATTAGTGAAGGCAAGCTTCTCCCAGAGAGGATGTTCCATAGCTAAGGAGGGGGGCACTGTTTGATATCAACTCAACTATTTTACTTCAAATGATGCGGAGGGGTCACTGGGAGAAGAACTGCTATTGACAGTCTTAGGGCATGGATCGCTATACACAGGAAGAGAATTTTCTTTAAATACAGAAGCTCTAATCTATGAACCTGTATGTAAAAGACTAACTACTCAGGAGTCAATTTCCAACTTACCTGTCCTCCTGAGAATTCTTTCCAGAACGCCTTTTATTTTTTGCTTCCCTTGGTGAGGAACGGATTTTCTTGGCTGGTGGAGCTGAATCTCTGCCATATTCCTCATCTACATAACAAACAGGATAAAACAAGCTTAATGGGAAAGCTTGTCAATTTAAAATATTAAATGATATAACATTGAAAAGTTAGCACCAAGTATAGCATTCTGCTAAATCTGCATGAAAACAGCATCTCCTTCCCTATACACCTGGCCTGAATCTTAAGATTTTTCTCTGAGGTCCTTCTTCAGGAGCACTCCTTGAGGGAGAGCAGAAGACTGGCTACTTGGAGAAGGGCCTTTTCTGTGGCAGTGCCCCAAATCTGGAACTTGCTTCCCAGAGCGGTGCACCTGATGCCAATGCTCACCAGGCCAAAAACATTTTATCTACCCGGTATTTTTAGGTCTAATGGTATTTTAATAGTAGGATTTTATTATATGTTTTTGTATTGTTCTTTAATTATGTTGCTATACTGTAAGCTGTCATGAGACCTGCTGGTATAGATGGGTTATAAATGTTTTAAATAAGCAATGGAATGCTTGAAAAGTGTTGAAAGATCAATGCTTTCCCAGATGCAGATGTATAGTTTGTTATCAAGATTTGTTTCAATAAACTGGTTGTGCTCTATTATGTTTTATTGTTGTCTGTAAGGTGTGTTAACATTTATAAGTCAATTAGAAGGCATTGCCAAAAAGCAAGTGTGTGGGTGAGTATGTGATGGTGGTGGTAGGAGATATATTAAATGTTTCAAATGTGTCTGATTAAGTATGAAAGTTAAATCCGGCTGTTTAAGATGCTAGATGAAGGCTCACAGGGTCAGCAGGGTTATGTGATCAGTTGAATAGAAGTATATATACACCTGGGATTAGGAAATTGCCTTTTGCTATTTAGTTTATATCCCATGCTGTAGAAAGCAGCAGTGGCTGGTTCTCTCCATATTTTTAAAAACACTTTTGTGAAGAGTAGTGTCCTACAACAGAGATCCCTTGGAAAAGTAGAAGTGTTTCCAACATATGAAGATCAATGACCATGTACAAGCTTTCCCAGTGTTTTGCCCACCAAAGCCAATCACCTGTAGCTGGAGACCATGGTGGATTGCTGGGCTTGCTCTAGGACATACATCGTTTTTACAACGCGATGGTGAGATACAAGAGACTTCGTTAGTTCCTTGTGAATCAACTGAATATCTCAGGATCCATTCATTGCACAAGGATTCAATGAAAGACAAGGCAGTGTTCTCTTAAAAAGGTAGGTAACTACCTGTGGGAGTTTCTGAGTCTTTTCTGTGACACAAGCAAGGAAGACAGTTCATGATACAAGCTAACATGCCCTCTGAATGGAAGATGACAAAGTGTTTCCTGGGGGAAAAGCCAGGTATTCAATGCTTGGTGTAAAACCTAAAGCCACCCTAGAAGCCTGTTAAAGGCTGCAGTATAGATAATAATTAAAATGCAAGGCTTAATTTTTTTCAAAGATGCTGCACTCCACAGTGGTCCTCTGCTATAGCCTCTATGTCACACTCAGTATTTTATACACACCCTACCTATATCTGGTACATAGATAGTTTAGAAGGCCGAAATTACAACAATTTGAACTCAAACAACATACAAAGAAGAAAATGTTGGAAAGACCTGCAGATTCTACTTTGACACAGATCTTTTTGAAGTTATAGATTAAGCCAACAAAATAAAATTGGAAATAACATAGGAATGCACCATATTTTGTTGGTGCATTCATCAGACAGTAACAACAGCATGACTGCTTTCCAAGAAGGGGGCAGACAACAACCCTACACCCCCAGGAAACCTTAATATATTTCACTTGGAGGAGGCCAAAACAAAAGTTTTTCAAAATCATGGAAGTCTTGTACTAAAACAAGCTGTACATACTAGTAATTCCATCAGATCTATTCCAAATAGCACCTCAGTATCACCCTCCTATTAAAATGTCTATTTTACTATGCAGTTGAAAGCATACATACAAAATAGAAGCACCTCTAGTCTTTCAAGCATTTGTTTCCTCGTCTTTTAGTAGCTACTGAACAGTGTCTATATTTTGGCCTAGGAATGATAGTTACCTGCATCATCGGATTCCTGAAACTGTGAGTAGTCTACCACTTTTCTATTCCTAAAAGGGCAGAAAAAGATATTCATTTGAATAGAGTTAAATTTTATAGCATCTACAATCAGTTTTACAACACAAAGACAAACTACTTCTTCACCTATAGATTCTAAGTAAGGCTGTCCTGATTTTGCAGCTTCACTATATACACAATGTACAGACAGAGGCAGATACCAAAAGGAACTGCCCCATTCTCCTGAAATACTGGAAAATTTGACAATTCTATAAAGATTCAATTATTGACCAGTTAAATAATGGTCAAGAATTTTAAAGTACTAATTGTATCAGAACAACAAAACAGATTTTGGCTTTCCCCAACCTACCATGATGTAATGTCTCTCAGTAGGCTATCACATGCATTTTACTTCAATTCGCAATTTCAGTACTTTCAATAGTGGGTTCTTTTAGTCCTTTCACTCTGCTTTAGGAGCTTTGTGAACAGAAACCCAGATTACATGGGAGGTTCCTTGCAACCAAGTAGTCAGGGGCAGCGATGACTGTGTGTGTTCGCTTTCAGAGAAAGGGGCCAGCAGAAGCAATTTTGCAATGCTGCTAGGTTTGCTCCTGATGCTGTAGGCAAAGAGCTCTCACTTGAGATTTCACTTAACTTAAACTATACAAATGTAAACTGTCATCTACAGTGTATTCCACAAGGTCAGGAATGGCACTGTGTAGAACTTGGCTTTGTGGAATACTTGCTTGTGCACAATCAAGAAATAGTCAAACAACAATAGCTGGAGACACAATGTTCTGCAAACACTGGCGTTTTCATTAATAATTTGGAATAATCCAGTTCAGGTACTTGCTGTAAAGAAGCCACTATTTTAGCAGTGTTTCTATTTTTTCCCTTTTTTGTAAACTGGTTAAGGATTTAGTAAAGTGTAAAAGAAAACTTTCTTAAAAAAAAAAAAAAAGTGAATTGTGGAAACCGTCTTTCCATTACTGATAAAGGAAGTCTTCATTAAAATAGTGTCCCAAATCCTGATAGATTAAATGAATGAAGATGCATTTTTATCTCATACCACTGCATATGCACAGTTGAGGAATGCAAATATCTCAAAATAGTGATGTTTATACAAAGCTGCAAGTGCAATGTCTTTTCCACATACATTTTTCTACATTTTAGGCACATACACAATGGCTACATTCAGAGATCACAACAAACAACTGGTTTGTTATGATGTGGATGTGCTGCAACAAGTCTCAGGTCATACTTTGCCTTCTTTCCCCTTAGGTGAGGAAACTGCAAGCTTTACTTTGTAGCTTGGGGGGGAAAATGCAGTTCCCTGTTTTGCCCAAATACCAAGTTTGTTAACAAAAATGACTTGCAAAAACCACAATTTCTGTATTTAGACAAAATGAGAGAAACTTCAAATCTGCTCTGAAGTTCAATCTATCTTTTATGGGGTGCTATGGTAGCAGTTAAACTAAAATGCATCCTCCCTAAAAGCTGACACAAACTGAATAGTATTTCAATCACTTCGAAACATCAATAATCCAAGACTCTTAGGAATAGTACATGTCTTGATCATGCCAGCTGATGAATGCTTTTAGAGACTGTGAGCATGTAGCCTATTAAGTCTCCCCAAATGCAATGCAATAAAGTATATCTTTCTGGACTGACTGGGTTAGTGGCACTGCATTATGATGGTTCTATTCTTTTAGTCCAGTAAGATAGCAAAAAGGAGTAAACTTTAATCACAAAAAAAAAATTATTTTTGAGATAAACCAATATAACAGGATACTAAAACCTGCCATCTTCAATTTGATGCATTTTTTTCATCCACAGTTGACATGCTGGATTTATTACAGGGCAGATAGGTGAGTGTTCAGAGTGATTGCTCCTATGAGTTCTTCAAAGGCTTCTGAAGACTTTTCCCAGGCTACAAGAAAGGCAATGCTCTAAACAGGAAACAATCCATTTCCTGTAGGATCAGAGCACGTCCCTTTTTCAAGTCTGGAAAGAAATTTCAGCAACTAGTATGAATGTCTCATTCCACTCAATCCTACAGCTACAGCTCTATGTGTATTGGCTCTTCCCCTCCAGACATTGGCACTCTGCATGGAGACCAGGGAAAATGTCACATGGTGGGGGGAGGAGCTCCACAACACAGCCCAACCCCCCAGTTGAAGCAAGCTGTTTAAATACCAATTAATCTGTGGAAACAATATAAATGCTGTTGCTGAAACTTTTTATAATTTGATAAATACTTCTTCAATGAGTATCTAACATCTATTTTGTAACATCCCAGATATTATCTAGAAGGTTCCTCTCCATGCACAATGAAAACAGATGCCAAGAACACAAGGCCATTGGTATCTCTCAGACATAAATGCCAGGGTGTTACATCCACCCAATCTGCCTCTTTACGAACTGATTTAAAGGGAGTTACATCTGCTGTTGTTGGTTTTTTTTAGATGACTTAATTCTACTGCATCTGTGCATCAGCCAATAGTATCTTCCTTACAGCTTGATGTATTTGAAAGCAGTTTCAGACAAAAACCTTTTAAGTCCAACAGGGACCCACAATTTTTGGCTGATCTTCACAGTGAAGCAAAAACCTGTGGTTGCCAAAGTCCCTTGCTAGTTTGGTCAATGCTCACCATGTAAACCTACCTCCCTTCTCTGGATTGTCTGAAGATCAGCCTTGTTAAAGTCATGAAATCTGGCTAGTTGCAACACCTGTCAACACCCACTGGAATTCGGCTGTTTATATGTTTATTTTACATGGCAGTCCTCTTCTTAGCTATGGTCTGCCTTGTGGAATAAGTGCACAAAATCCTTTGATTGTAGCTTGGTACAGAATACAATCCAGTCCACTTCCTTTACTATTTATTTCTTCCTTCTGCTGTTTCCTTAGACAAGATCCTGTATACGAATTAGCGCTGAACATTATCTTATTCAGCTTCTTCAGTAACTTCTATCAGAAGAGCCTGCCTAGCATATAATGGGCATCAAAATCATCTGTTTTGAAAAAAAAATGGATTAAATTTTGCTGAAAAAGTCATTAGATTCTGTTCTTATGGATAATGTCTGATATCTTGCAAAGGACCTACCTCCAAATAACACTAAATGTATGTTGTATTTAACATGCATGGCTTTTAAATCTTTAGATTATATAATCTAGGATGTTGATAATCAACTTAATGAGAGCAAATATGAATGGGGAATTTAACCTGTAATTCCTTAAGATTTCCAGATGTGTGAGTGGGGATCCCCACTGTTCATGATTTATCAAATTTCATTACATAATTGATCAGCATAGGGCAAATCCATGAGCTAAATAGAGATATTATGTTTAATCATGATTTTAGCATAAAGCTATCACCATGTAGTATATAACTAGAAACACTGCATAGGGAGCGTGTGGGTGGAAGCACAGACACTGGTTCACTTCAGATGTCACAGCCATGCAGGATTTAAATGTTTACTCCATGAATGAACAGCAGCAAGAGTGTGTTTTGGTTCCCATTAAGTTAAATAACCTAGAAACACACTATTCCTAGTTGGCTCATTCAACTCATCCACCACCACCACCACTACAATACCCACAAGTTCACCTGAAAGTAGAAATGTAAATGCCCAGAAGTTTGGAATCTACTGGGGGTGGATGGGGTGCGTTATTTAAAGAGAAAATTTGACATTGGCAGCTATTTAAAAAGTATTGCATACCAGTTATTAAAATGATCTTGACTACATTAAGAACATACATCATACAAATTGAACTATCTGATCCATACAATTTAAAAATATGAATCAAGATGGTTAACATGTAGCAGAAAGCTGCTGCATCCTTAAGCTACATATTCTAGTAAAAAAATTAAAAATATTAAATAAAAGTTGAGAAATTAACACTATAATTACCCAATGAAAGTTTTAATTAACTGTTGTTGAAAAATAGGCTCTTTTCTATACAATACAGCCAGAAACACAATATAAAAACCTGCAACACCTATCTACGTGGAAATAACAATGCATGAGTGTACAACTAGAAGCAATGATCCCTTTCAAACTGCTTCCAACTCTGAAAAATACCCCTAACAAATCACAGTAGGATGGAGATATCCTTTAAAATCTTTACTAGTATAACCACCATCACCACCACATGGTATTACAGTAATTATGGATAAAATAGCTCCCCCAAGCCCACGAAATATTATTTGAACAGAATATACTGCTATCTTTATTTTTCTCTAATCAAAAGCAGAAAAGGATTGAAAGTTTGTACAGAATGAAACAAGCTGCTCCACTTTTACCATGTTAGCTTGTACTTTAGTCTGATGCATATATTTTCAACAGAATAATTCCTTTCACATGTTACTGAAGATGAATGAATCTCATTGCCTATCATAACCCAAGTCTCAAACTGATCACAATGACAGGTAACTTTTGCATTCTATGTCACAAGTAACCACTCAAATCAATCTATTCAGCTATAAATTAAATTTACATTTCACATTCATAAACTCTATCTCCAAGAAGGGATGAGTGTGCACACTTTCTAATTAAGATGCTAATACTAATATATACATTAATTAAGAATGGAAATGGTACTATAAATTTATTTTAAATGGGACACTGAAGCACACTTTACGAAGATAACTATCCAGGCCAATGGAAATATAGTTTTCTACTGAATGCTAAGTGATATGATCTGCTATTTAGGATGCATTTGTGAGTTAAAAGGTTTACTTCTCTGCAGGTCTGGGTAACTCCAAGGACTGCCAGCCCCACTTTAGAATCTATGCTATGTTATCTTAGTTTGCATTTATTAATGCTGATTTAAGACCAAAGCATCTTTAGAACCACCCGATGACAATATAAATAGGACACCTTTGTATGCAGTACTTATGCAGCATTTTAACAGGTACACAAATTATAATTCCATTTTCTTTTCATCAGCATCTCAGTTGTTCTCCTTGCAAAGATATGTTTAATATTGGTTTATAGTTCCCAGCAGATGTGTTACTATACTTCAACTTATTCTGTCTTAAATAACAGTCCCTTGAAGAACTACACAATTAAGGTACTGGTGAACAAGTTGGGGCAGGAATCTTACTGTAATTACAGTTACTAATCAAGCTTAAACAGTCCTATGTTTTAAAACTTGCAGGTGTAACTGATCTAAGCAAACAAAACAGATATTTATTTTGTGACAGTTCAGAATCATAATAGGAAACCAAAGAAGTCTTTGCAAAACACTGCTTCAAAGACTGCATAAAACCAGTGTGATTCAAAGGTCAGTGTTGCAGTGGACTATGACTGGAGCAGACTCTCCAGCCCCTAAAATGAGAGACTAGGCCAAGTCATTACTTCAGTCTACTCTAAAAGAGGTTATAGTTACAAAAATAATTTAAAATATCCAGAAAGGATAGAAATGCATTAAGTAGGTTCACAACTTCTGCCTGGCTTTAGTAATAAAACTAAAAACTGTGGTTAGTAGCAACATTGTAATCACCAACAGCCAGAGTGGCAAGAAACTGCCTGGCTACTGTGCTTCTACCACTGTAGGTGGAGAATACGATGGTGTGGCCGGAACAGTAGTATGAACAGAAGCCCCTTGTCCCACTTTGCTGCAGAAATTGAGACCGGAAGCATTCCAGTCAATAACTTTGGGCCTGGAGTGCCTCAGCTAAGCCAATACGCTTTTCACTTCCTTTTCCTGCAGGAACAGGGGCAGGGGAGCCTTCCTCGATTGTTGTGTGAACAAGGCATCTACAACATTTTGACTAAGTTCAGTTAAACTGGCAAGGCAAGGACACAGTCATGGGCACAAAGCCCAAAGAGATGCGTGTTCAAATCCGTACTTAGCAATTATACTTCTGCAGAGATTGAACCTATCTTAAGCTAACCTACAGTACTGTTGCTAGAACATCTATAAAGAAGCACAGAAATGCACACTATCTACTTACTGCTCCTTGAAGAGTGAGATGACACTAGACATCCCTTCATTCGTGAAAACAAATTTATCTTCATCAGTGCTTCGCAATCAATTCACTACTGCAAAAAGACCCCCGTCCCCGGCAAAATAACACGCTGAACACCACACGCATATGCACCCCTTCCCCAAAAGAGCATCTTCGACTACGAACTCCTCTCTCGTACGAACAAACTGTCTCCCAAGACCGATGGACCAGCACTGCTATACGAAATAACACAATGAAGGCAGGCTAACAACGCGTGTTCAACCCCACCCCCTTATCTCAAGCAAAGACACACGCCTCTCTCAGCTAGTGAGGCGCAGGCCTTGCTTTCACTCACGCTACACCAGCGATGTACAGATAAAGAGCGTCGGCGAGAAACGCCGCTTCCCCGAAGAGACACGGACTTTGCTTGCACTAACCTTAAGGGGCAGCATTGCATCCTGTAAGGGGCCTGCAGGGCGGCGGCAGCAGCGTGCAGCCTACTGCGAGGAGGAGCAGCAGCAGCACGCTGCATGCCTGCACACGCCCCTCCCTTCGCTTCTCCCGCCATACCCCTCTTGGCCGTCTTCCCTCCCTCGCGTGGGACGAGGCCAAGTCCAGTCGTTTCCCAGCAAAGGGCCTACAAGAAGAGAAACCAAAGCAGCCTCAGGCCTTTCTCCATTTGCAAAGGACTCACCTGACAGGCCTAGACATCTCGGCTGACTCAAGGGAGGCCCTGAGGCGGGCGCTAGCGGCTCAGAAGGCAAAATAAGCGAGCAGGGACGGGGGCGTTCTTGCTCGCCCTCCCGGGCGGAGGGGTCGGGCCCCGGGTCCAGCGATTCAGTCCGCCGCCCCGCGCCCCAGACTCGGCTCTGGCACCGTCAATCGCCACCACTCGCCGCTCCCCCCTGCAAAATGGTCGCACTTCGTCCAGCAGAGGAGATGCGCCTAGCTGAGAGGGCGGTGCAACCTACTCGGCTGGACTCTCCTCCCTATTTTTCTCATTGGGTATCTGGTGGCGTTGCTGTGTCCCATTGGGGCGTTCGAAACATCACGGAAGCGTCAGCCCGCCTCCTTCCCTGAGAGCGGGAGGAGAGCCCCTTCTCGTTAAAGCTGATATGAGAGCTGAAGCTAACAACAAAAAAACCTGGTGGGACTTGGTGATGGCAGATTCGCAAGGAGTCCGCTTGAACTCTCGTCCAGTTCAAGAGCCAAGCCTTGTTTCGTACACAACAGAATGAGTCTCGAGGTGTATTTACTGGGCACACAAGAAACGGTGGGCTCCCAAGTAAACGGCAGATTCGATAACTAAAGCTGGGCTAGTTTTTGGAGGGAAAGAAAAATCGGATTCAGTCCCGTCCCATATATGTGGCACCGTATCGCGATACTTCCGTAATTACTGCTTATGCGTTATGAATTCTAGTGAGTTTAAAGTATTTTGGAGGTACCCGGGAGAATAGTTTCCCTTTTAAAAGGGAATTACCTAAAATACTATCCTCAGCCTCTTTTCATCCCCCTCCAGGGCATAGTTACACGTGCCAAACGGTAGATAGGAACCTCTCCTCCCTTGCCTCGCTCCTTGAGCAAAACCTGGAAGAGGAGGAGAAGGCGTAGCCCCGAAAGACCCCCTCCGTGTGGTGATACCTCCTTTGAATATTGCCACGGCTGATGAAGTGTGCAAGTAAGACAAAGCAGCAGTTGCTCACCTGCTCTGAGCGCCACAAGGAGGATTGGGCCCACAATACCACTTGAATGCAAACACAGCTTTACTCGCAGGATAAGACAGCATGGAAGGATGGCTGTGCACCTATGATCTCCACATCGCTCATAAAAGAAGATGAGTGAGCAGGTTGCGCTGGCTACTGCTCTTCCCAAGAGCAGCAACCTTTTTCTCACTCCAACTGCCCTGCCCCACTCACTCTGAGGGGGAATGAACAGGCTGCTGTTGCAGGGAGAGATGGCAGGCAAGCAAAGACAATCATGACCATCATTTCCCAATCCTTGCTGCCTAAAAAAGGATAATGTAGAGCCGGCATTACCTCTGCTTCATTTTTCTTTTTTTCAGGGTGGCACAGGAGCAAAGATTTGGTTAACTGCAAAATCCACTTCAATGTGTTGCCCTGACAGAATTGCTAGTCAAGTGGTGGGGAAACATGGAAAGATCAAAAACTGAAGACTGAATGCTTGCTCCCTCCGTGTTTGAGGCAGTGCAATTGCAGGATTAAAGCCTCATTTGTATCCATGGCAGTAAAATACAATAATATATTAAAGCTGCAATCCAGTAGACTGCAAATAACTCTTGAAGCTCAGAGGATTAAGAGCATCCTATGTAGGGTGGGAAGAATATAAAGGCAAAAGTCACCTCTCACTCCTGCAGCTTTCTGTAGTGGCACTTAAACACGAGAGGGAGACATGATGCTGCTAGAATATCTTGTAACTAGATGACACCTGTCTCCACCCCAGCCCCTGGAATAGCCCTTAAATACCTTCTCCAAGATTGTTCTTACAGTCTTAAAGAAGCAGCCAGCAGTTATTTCCACAATGCCTGCAATGGCTGTGGAGTGGTAAGGAAGTGTGCTCTTAGCACACAGTCTGACCTGCCTCAACTCTGCCTAATGATAGTGCTGGAGGATTAGGGTGAGGACGAGTTGTCTGATCCTTCAGTATTCAGTTGTTGGCGGTGGCGGCAGCAGCAACAGCACATTGCATTTATACTCCTTTTTCATTTAAACTCCATCTTTCAAGGCAGCTTACAAGTTTCTCTTCTTTATCCTCACAACAAGAACCTTGTGAGGAAGATTAAGCTGAGAATCCAGGATTGACTGAAAGTCCCCCAATGAGTTTCAGGGATGAGTGGCAGGTAGAATCCAGAATCCCGGGCCAGTACTCTAACCATTACACCATGCTGTGCTGCACCACACAGAGAGGAGGAGAGGCAAGCAGGCAGAGACGGCTGCTTGCACTCTGTCTCTCGGTGGCACTGTGAACTGAATCCTCTTGGCTTGGTACACAGACAAGACAAGAAAGAAAAGATAAAGTAATTGCTATTACTGCCTTCTTTCCTTGTACACTTCCCTGCTGCATTCTAAGAAGGAGGAATTGCTGGCCATGCTACAGACTATTTAACCTCACATGTTTATAGTGTGGAAGGAGACCTTTTCAATTGTGGAATGAACTGTCAGTTGGGATAGGGCAGGCTTCTACTTTCTGCCGACAATGGAAAATACACTTGTTTGCCCAGTCATTTCCTTGATTGCCACTGCGGCATTCTGGAAGTGGTAGGATATTTTCTTTCCCATGGCCTCTTTTCAAAAGTTACAGAATATGGAATTGTTCCCCAGTAAAATGTGTTTTGAATTGCACCATTGGAAGTGTTAAACAATTTCTGTCCATTCCCTTTAGGATACCTTTATACAACTGTTTTCCGTCCAGATAGTTTGTGTACCAAATTCCTGGAATCCATGACCTGGTTCACACGAACACTTAATAAGCCACAGTGGTGGTTTTGTGCTAGGGATATTAGCATAATTACCCATGGGTTGTCCTGTCATGTGAATCCATTCAGGATGGCTTCTTGCCAAAGTTGACAAGACACCCTAGGCCCCTACAACAGCTCAGGGATTCGGGATGGCTTGTTTACCATAGCAACAAGCCAACCCTTTCATATGACATAACAAGCCATCCTGTTGAGGATAATTATGCTAATCCCCCTGGCATGCATGGTGAGGAAAATAAGTCAGTTATTTCCAAAGCCACAATTGTGTGAACTAGAACATACTGACAACTGCCTCTTCTGCAGCTGTCCAAGTTCTGTCTAGGAAGTACATAAGCCAACGCATGGGATACCTATTTAGCTCACTTTCTAAACTTTAGACTACTTTTTTTTTTAAAGAAAATGTATATTGCTTTTAGTAAACACACTTCCAAAAGTAGTTTACATAATTTGGAAACAAAACTGTCTCATAAAGATTAACATGGTACAGCAGAAGAGCATTAAAATGCCAGATGAAACAATCATTGAAATTAAACATTCTAAGTAAATAAAATCTCTCCAGGAACTGAAATAACAAGGTAGCACCAGGAATCTTCCATGGGAAAACAGTTATAATACACTGTGTGCGCCAAAGTAAAAAAGGCTCTATCCTGTGTCATTCCTGTTTCAGTTTGCACAGGAGCAGAGCAATTTATTGTAGGAATGCTAAACTTCGAGATGGAAACTACTGTCAGAGGAATTGTTGGTGTTCTGTGTTACTGGACTGAAGAATGTGACACTAGCCAAAAGCTACCAGTGAGGAAGCAACATGATAGCTCACCTAATTTTTAGATAGATTAATCATGATTTAGTGACAATGATGACATAGTCACATGCATCGGCCAAGTTCTTGCCCTGTTGTAGTACTGTTGATGTCCTTCCCACATCATTACCTCTGGATAGCAAATGCTCTCAGCACAGCATTAGGAGCCAAGGATGACTAAATTCTAATTGCATTTTCAGTGTCTATGTTGCTTACTGATCCCCAACAAGAATATTTAAATGGCTACTGACAAAACTAGGGCAGCAGTTGTGGGATGTAATAAGCTATAGGACACATAAAAGTTCTCCCATAATTAAAAGGTACTGAAACATGTACATGAAAGCATCCCTGAACATTTAAATTGGGGTGGTGGGGTTGAATGCGGCCAGGTTCAGACATAATCAGTCTGAATTATGCAGAATCAGTCCTTGGGACTAATTAACTGTGGAATACAAGTTGAACACATACATACATACAACCCATGGTGGAAAATGTGGTGGCATGGCTTGTGGTCATGTCTGAACCCAGCAACCATGCTGAAGCATAGTAACCACACAATAACTATGTTGTTTCTATGCTTCACCATGGCTTGTTTTTGCCCCTGAACAGAGAAAGTATACTTCTATATGATTTTCATGTTTCTTTCACAGAGTTTTGAGCATAAAATTGCCCTGGTTGCATCACATGCTCCTGCCTGTGCTTGTTACAGTTCTGCCTAGCAATAACTGGCAGCCAGCAGCACTCTGGTTGGTGGCTTGGTGTTCCCTTTTTCATTTTTCTGTGTGTTGCCTTTAGATGTCCACCTGCAGCGTTGGAATTTTGGTGGCAATAGGGCATTGACCCAGCAACAGCCTTTCCTGGCACTCCTGTCTGGTTGCTGTATGTTGCTTGGGTGACACTTGGAAACTGGTCTACCCATGCAGCCAGCACTCTCCTCTTGCAAAAGTTGCCTACACAAAAGAGGAGCACACCAGCTACACACGGGCATCACCAACTGGGTGCTTCCTCTAGAGAACTCATGTTTTCCACTCTGCTACTATCTCATCCTCAGGACTGTCAGCAAGCCCTGCTGTCCCCTACCATGACCCCCACCACAGCTGCAGCACATGTTCCTAGTCACCAGCCAAAAAATATTTGCAGGCCATACACTCTCCCTCAGGAAAGTCTTCTCAGCAGAAGGTACTGCCTCCATCCCTGCCCTAGGTGCCTGCACTGATGCCTTGCATGTGGCCAGCTGCAGTGGGTATAAGCCCTACACATGCATGCACATGCACGCATGCGTGTGCATAGGTGGGCACATGTGCAGTGATAGCAGGGGAGATGTGGGGTGTGGGTGGGTGTGCTTGCACGTTGGCACAGAACAAGGCAGCAGCAGAAAGAAGTGCTCTAGCGCTACTCTAGTGAATAAGGAATTGCTTTGCTGAGCAGCAAAGAGACAGCTGCTACTCCCAGTGGACTGTGTGGACCAGTGAGGGAGAGGCACATGATGCAGGCAGAAGCAGTGTGCCCTGGGATGGAGCTGAGCCAAGGGGGCTGATGGGATTTTTTCAAAGCTTTGGCATTTCTTTGGGGGAAAACAACATATAGAAATCCACCAGCCATTTTAGCAAACAATTTATTTTGCCTGTAGCTGTTACAAGTACTTCATCCCAATATCTACCAAGCCATAAAAAGTACCTAGATACCCAAAACAAGAAGGCAGGCCTTCAAGGTTTCCACAATTCTCCAGAAGATTTTTGTCCATCCTTCTGAAATCACTAGCATAGAATCCTAATCATGTTTAGGATGCACAGGTTTGAAGAGTACAATTCTAGCTATTTATGTCAGTATAGTAGCCCAAATGGGCCAGTAACATGAGTGTGAATGGTGGGGTTTGCAGAAGGATGCACAGCTCCAGCTGTATCAAAGTATGTTTTAGATTGTCACAATGAGAAAGCAATAGCTGTGAGAAAGCAATGTCAGAACTTTTTATTTCAGATGGGCTTTAGTTTTTTTCAATACTGCACTGGTTATTGAATGATACAGCAAAAATCTCATTCGTTCCTATATATAAAAGCAAATACTGTTAACATATTAAAATAATGCAATTATAATGCAAGCATATAAATGTGAGATTTTGTATAACCAATTAACTGAGCAGAGTTTTCGAATAGTACTGATCAGATTGATGGAATGTGGTCCATATACTCTTATCATGTAAACTCCAAGCTGTCCGAGGCTCATTACTGGAAGCAATTTCAGGATAAGAGTTCTCCATTCATTGTTCCTCCTCTAAAAACTACATGCAAAATTGCAGTTGAATTTTCACACTTCAAGGAGCTGGGCTAAGCAAGACTTTTTCTGTCTATTTATCTACCCAAGTGGCAACCTGGCATGTGGGTGGAGAAGACACAAATCTGAGTATTTTAAAATAAGCTCTCATTTAAAGGTTATATGCTTTATTATTAATTACATAAATCAATTGTTCAATTTGTGCTAAAGTGCTTTTACTTGTAGTAACTATTGCTTAATTACTTTAATAACTTTTTAAAAAGAGGTAGACTAACACCTGTTTTAGCACAATGTAAAATATTTGAATCTATTTCTATTAAATAGGGAGTTTTTTGGCACTGGGGTTGCATCTAGTTAGGGAAAATGGTAAAGAAGTTTTAGATGAGAGGCAATCAGTATGTAGCATGACTTGTAAAAAGATGTATGTTTAAAGAGACATAATTTAAAACAAAGTAAGTAAAACATAGTAAGTCCTTTATAGCAAATATGAGTATGTTGGCAGAAAACGTATTGCAGAAACTTGGATCCAGACACAAACACACAGGATTTAAACACTGAGCCAACACTTGCTTTGAAGAACACTATTTTAATTTTAGAACTCCTGTGGTTTTGTGTTTGTGTTTTAATCATATACTTCATATTCTAGTTGGGCCTCTCAAGACAACCCTTAGGAAAGTCAGCTGTTTTCCAAGCTGCCAGGGCTTTAAACATTCACATGCCATTACAATAGCTCCCTGTGATAATAATTTGAGTGGTTAAAAAATAAAATAAAAAGCTTGCTTAATAATTATCCCAAAGTCACACATACACAAAAGGAATTGATAACATGCATAGATTTTCAAGTGTAAAATTATACAGTTGTGTTCACACAGCCAGATAACCAAGGTTATCAATTTGCATTGTCTTCCAACACAGCACTAAGTGTTTCTGTATAGATCACTACCAAAATGCTCTAACCATAGACAATAAAAATAACTTTAAGCCAGTGCACAAACACATAAAGTGAAAGATGATACAACAAATTCCATGGTTTACTGTCCTGATATAGATCAGAAATTATGTCAGAGAATCTGCTTGAAATAATGTGAAAAACATGGCGAAAGGGTCTTTGTACCCAGTTACTAGACATTAATTTCTGCTGTACAATTCATTATATACTGCTTTTCAAAAATAGTATTAAGGGCATAAATTACTGTGATATTATCAGATGAAAAGTGTATGACCATATCATAAAGACTACCTCCAGCATCTGGAGAATTGGCAGCCCTTATTTGTTTTCCTATCAGTTTCTGCTGGATATAAGCAGAAAAAAAAATTGCACTTCATTTTACTGTAACAACCTTAGGCCACTTTTCTTGTCTCCCATTTCACAAATTACAAGGAGGTGCCTGAATGCACCAAAACAACCAAGTTCTAAAACTGTTATATCTGAAAAGCATCCCTTTAAAGGGATTTTTAGTTTGAATTCCACAGTGCTTAGCACTTCAGTACCTTTTTTCAGATACAGCACAGAAATTCATCAACAGCTTTTACCACCTTTAAAAATATTGGAGATAGTGGTTTCTAAATTTTAAAGAGAGCTTAGTATCTATCCAGCATTCATATCATTACTTAGCAGCAGCTGTTTAATAACCTTTGTTTCAAAATGTCATCCTGGAATGCCTACATTACAAGGTGAAGGTCAACAGATTAGTAGTAAGTATCTTTTCTAGATAATTCAGAGAAGAGCTAGAATGTCTCTTTCATATTTACCTGGCGAATGTGCCCATAACTCATCCTGGACTAATAGTTTAAAATTTACTGTAATCGGGGCTGGAAGCAAACAGTGAAGGGTTTTAATAAATCTTGCTGTTAAGACCTTCAAAGTTCTGCTTTGAACCCATCTCCTAAATTATCCAGAATTTGGACATATTATTCATTTATGTAATTTTTTTATCCATAACACTTATTGCCTTGGTTGATTATTTTAAAAGGAAGATTAAAAATTCAAACACCTCAATGCATCTTCTTATTTTGTAACTTTAACTTGTCTGAACTATAGCAAGTTTTAAACCCTAAAAAGTTGGAATTTGGTTTTTCATGGAAAATATAAAATTATATCAGCTATGATCTCATAAAAAAGATGAAGGGGATGTACTTGGTATCAAAAAAAACGAACAAACAAACCCACAGGGAAGATTTGACTCTCGCATTTTGTCCAACTGAGTCTCCTATTCTGTGTTTTCTCCTTCAGATCACTAAAACCAGTAGGTGGCCTTTCAGGAAGCCTTACAATGATGGCTATCTACACCCACACAGTAGGACAGCTAAGGGGAAGTAATTCATCAGAATTTGAAAGAGGCAAATTAGATCTTGCTAGGGAAAGGGCTATAAAAATAAAGAATACTGCTGGTGCTCTAATAAGGTGCATCAATGTAAGGCAGTTTACAGCTTTTGCCTCCATTCATTGATGGTTTCTCAAAAAAAGTGGGGGGAGGTATCAGGAAACACTTAACTGTTGTGTATCCCACATAAAAGACAGGTCAAAAAAGGCCAGAGTTCATTGTACTTTCCCCTTCAGCTTAAACATGCAGTCTTTGGCAAATATATACAAAGGTACCCCATGGCAAAAATGGCACCTCTAGAAAAGCTGCATGAAGAGAATTCCACAGCTGTGTCACAAGATAACCACAGGCCAAAGCCTGTTCCCATAGATACGTTAAAGGCAGCTTGTTTCAATCTAAGAGCAATGGATGGTTTAGTCAACACATGGCTAAGTCGCTTTGGCTTTGCTTTTGGAGCGCTGAAATGTCCCCCATAGCCACTCTTCATGAAATGGCAACTTTGACCAGCTGAGTTGCAGACTTTGCAGTGGGTTGCAATGAGTGGAAAATTCTTCATTTCAGAGCTAATTCAAGCCATGATGCCAAACTGAATAGTGCAAGTGTACCCTCATGGCCCATAAGGAGCAAAGACAGTGGTTTTAGTTATCTTTGCTAGGCTGAGGGACTCCCTCTCATTGCTTGCAGGCATGCTATCACTTTAACAAAACAACCATATATATTTGTTTGAAAGGCATTCTTGACCTCTGAGCCGACATAGAAACTTGTGCAACTAGCAACAGCCCCAGCTGGGTGTGGATGCATCTTTTAACTTGATGTAGTTTCCATGGCCTGAAACTGAGTTTTCTGTGTCACCAATGCTCAAGGATGTTGTCATCATCATCTTCTCAATAAGGACTCTAAGAGGAAACAGAATTTGGTTACTGAGAAATCGTAGCACTCATTCAGCACAGTCTTGGCCCAAGAAAGGTCTTGAACCAAATGATACGCAGTCCAGAACTGATAGACTGGAACCAAAAGAGAGCTGCTCCATTCTGGACTTGCTCTATCGAGAACATTGCACAGTGGGATTCTGAACTGCACGGTTTATGTGGCATTTTACGTCAAAACCTCTGACGTATCATCAGAGCATCTTGGTAAAAAATGTGGTTTGTAAACCTGAAGTTGTTGTATGGGAAGTTTTGAAAAGCTGAGAATGAACACCAGTATGGATCAATAGGAACCAAAAACAAGTGAACAAAGGAATGCATGCACCACTGTGCCTGACCTACAGAAAATACAAAATTTATTCTTACAGTATTTCTGTGAGGTAGGTTAGGTGAGAATCAGCAACTGGACTGAAGTCAACCAGTAAGCAGGCCACTTTTACCACCCCAAGTCTGACCCCATCTTAAGTCCCCCCACCATAACATAGTGGGAATATTCCTGAAAGTGTTGAACTGTGGTAAATTGGAATTCTCTCTAAACACATCAGTAGTGCTACCACTTTGCCACATGTTAACAATATTCAGTTCTTAGGTTCCAGTTTACCTTTGGGAAACATTTTAAAATAGTCCTGCCTACCTCATAGACTCATTAACATTCTTGTTTTCCTTGACAGATGTTTCAGTCCATCCTGTGAAACCATTTTCTTTGCTGAACTGATCAATTTCTTCTCTGGTAACAGCCCATGGATAAAGGTCACACTGGAAAAAACAATTTAGGAGTGTTCAAATTCAACTGTCAAGCCACTAATAACCCCATCCTTTTTCCGTCTCAGCGGCAGATGTTTACATGGTAGGACAGCACTTCTAACACACTGATGAGGTAATATTCTAATTCTATTTGAGCTGCTGCAGTGGCAAGGAATGTTGGGGGCTGTAGTAAAGCACAGATGGAGGGCACACATTTTGTGGCTGTAATCTCTGGCTAAAAAGAAAGGAAAAGAAAAATCACCTGAGTATTTTCTATTTTGATGGAAACCTCAGTGCTAAACATGTGTGTGCATTGCTGAACTAATTTTCCATTAACTTTAAGCCTTTAAAGATTCTCTGGGAAGACGCAACTGGGTCAGAGAATGTGAGTAAACATGATTACTCTTCATACTCAGTTTTATCATACAACCTCATTTTTAGGTCCTACCCTAATTCCCAACTGCTTTGAGTGTCCACCAGTTCACCAGCGCTATCAGTGATAGTACACCTGCATAATTCCGAGTCTCCACTGATTTAGGGGAGTTTCAGGCTCTTTAAATGTTGTGTTTACCTAAGGATAACAACAGTCTCCCAACAAGCCCTACATCTGTTTCACTTCAACAGGGCTGCAGCATCAGATTCTCCCAGACCATTCACTAAATCATGGCTTAAAGGCCTATTTATTTATTATTTAAGCATGATTTTTTTTCATAATTCTCCCTTCTTTAGGGATCGCTCTATACCCTGTTTGGAGCTCAGTGACAGCAGCGTGCACAAAGAAGCCGCCACTGTACTAATCTTCTGCTAGAATAAGCCAACATGCTTATCTAGTTTTCAGACAACTATTAACAGAAAGACAGATCCCAACTAGACGGAACTAGAATTATGCTGAATTTTCCCAATTTCTAAGTTAAAATTTGCACATTTGGAGGAGAAGCTTTTACCCAGTAGCTACACACTGCAAAAGATTGGGAAAGTTTCTCTTTGTTGTAGTAGTAGTTGTGGTATTTACGGCTACAGTCCCAGAGTTAGCCATAAAGAACAAGGGAGCTGTGCAATCAGAGAACAGAAGGAGCTTCTTCTCTTTGTATAAGTAGAGGCCCTTTACATCAGGAGTTGTGAACCTCTTTTAGCAGGAGTGTCAGACTTAATTTTGGAGACACACTCAGGAGCTACATCCCAGTTGTGAGCAAGGTTAAAGGTAAAAGTGGGGTGGGGGGCAAAAATAGAAGCATATTTTAGCTCAAAACTCTTACTGCCTGTAGTTAAATTGTAGGAAAAGCTTTTCAACCTTTTACAATGGTTGAAAAGCCAGGATACCACCAGACTATAGGTGGTTAGAGAAAAGGACTGGGTAGCCTGCAGGCTAAAGGATCAACACTCCAGCTTTGCACACTTTCAGAAAGCATTTTCTCTCTCTGTTTTGCCCAAAGCTTGACATCGGTCACACTGGACAGAAGAAGGGAGGACTTAACATATATAAAAAGACACAGCCTAAGCTTTAGTCCAATTGGATGAGAGCTTCCTCAAGTTTGGTCAGACAAGACAGAGACAAAAATGGAATTATATAAAAGTTGGGGATCTTCTTTAAGCTGTGTACCCTGTGGGCTAATTCAGTTACTGCAGAGTGCCCTGCAGCCTAAAATCAGCTTCTGAGGTTTTTTAACAATTATGTCTGAGAGGTCACCCTTCAGGACCACCCCCGCATCCCACAAACCCAAAAGATTGCAGTCTGAATCCTGAACATGCCTGGGTGTAACTCCACTCCTAAGATGCACTCCCCACCAAAGATAGGAGGGGGACCACTAATTCCTCCTTCCTTTTGTGGCCTGCTGTGTCTCCTGGAAATCTGCTCACGAGAATTTAGTGTAGTCACTTTGAAAGAGTGAGAGAACTGGGGAGGAGACTGCAGGGGGAAGCAGTGAGAATCACCACTTTCCTCCCCATTTCCTCCAGCCCGAGTGCCTGCTGGCTCTCGGTCCCTTTCAATGGAAGAAGTCCTTCTGTGCACAGAACAGCAAGTCTGCATACGATGCTATGTTGAAGTGGAATTTGAAAACATAATGAAAAACATGTGTTTTTGTATAGTAGCAATTAAAATACTGAATGGTACAATCCTGTGCATGTTTAGACCCTACAAATCCTAGCATGTTCCTGACAGTCATGCTGGTTTGGGGGTACTAGAGGCTACTTAGATGGCAAAAAGCCCTGACTGCATAAGATTGTACCCTAAACTGTTTGGTTCTTCTAGAAGCAGGACAGTAAGACCTGGAGGGAAATGGTTTCATCTGTCAGGAACAAATCAGGCTCCACCAAGAAAATTTAAATCAATGCATTTGGAGGGATTTGCTTCATATGGAATTAATACACAGTACCACTATACTGTTCAGATAGCAAGTGTAACTATGTTAAGAACTGCTATTTAAATACCTTTGACTGATTCTAGAAGGAAATATAAGTCCAGTGTTGTTCACTGTCTCTCCTTTGACATCATGTAATCATCCACTTTCCCCCATGAACTTTCAATGAATATTTGATACCCAAATCCTCTTTAAGCTGAATGTAGATAATAGTCATATATTTGCATAATAAGGTAATATGAGCCGAAGCATGATATGGTAGTTGTGAATTAATTTGCAACTGAAATTGCACCATACATACACACACATGCGCGCGCGCGCTGTCCTCATTGCAAAAAAGCCTCAGGACAGCTTACAAAGTATCCCATCTCGCCTATGAAACTGAGAGGACATGAGTATCCTAAGTGAACTCCACTGAGTAAGGATTTGAACCCAGGTCTTCCTGTCCAGGTCAAACGTTTTACAGGTACATGACTACACTGGTTTCCATCACAGTAATTAAAAGCAAGATAGCCTACTCACAACTCCTCACAGATAAGAGAAGGCAAACGTTTGAGTCCCATGTGATTATCTGAGAAATTGTCCTGAACACCTCCACAAAATGACTGTCATTGTAGTCAGAAATGTCATATTACCTATCCAAAGACTAGGTACAGGGTAGAAGTGGGAATTACACTCCAACCTACTAAACAAATTCTCTGATCCCACAATTTTCTCTGCCAACAGAACCCTATTTCACACCAGGCAAACTCCTTTTCCTCCCTGCCCCCTGCCAGTCAATTCATTCATTTGTCTGTTTTTTTCCTCTCACCCTGGCACTCTTGTGCGCGCACGTGTGCGCGCTCTCTCTCACTCACACGCGTGTGCACAGATACCACATGACCCAAACCATTCATTTACACTCCCTGTTCATCCATCATGGATGAAATCGTATCTAGATGCACGGATGTGCCTCAAATAAAAAACACACTCACTGCTTTTCAAGATATCCCCAAATCCTCCCTCCCTCATGCACACAGACCCACCCCCAGCACCATATAATCGCACAGTCCCCACACCACCGCTGCCAGCTTCCCACTGCTTTCCTCTCCCTGACAGTTTCCTCCTGGAAACAGTTTCCTCCTCCTCCTCAACTAGCTTACTATTGCCCTCCCTAGCCCCTGTGCACCCTCACACCCCACCCAGACCTCCCCCCACCCCTTTGGCTAGGCATGCTGAAGGGGAAAGCACTGATCTATAGTCACCCAGCATCTTCAGTTCCTAAGAAATTCCAGGTGCAGCCCAGAAGTATCCGTGGGAAATGAAGGCAGCCACAGAGGCCTCACACTTTACTTGGAAGCAATCCCAGCTGTTAGTAAGAAAGCCTTGGTATTTTTTTTTTTAAAGAGGGAGAGGTAGGGGACCTCAGCAGACACCCAGGGTCACTATACTGCCTACCCAGTACACTGTGCAGATTACCATGATCCACAGGCAGAGAGCAGCAGGTATACAGCAGAAAGAGCATGCACACAACAAATGACACTAGAGAACCTGGCAAGCGAGCCAGTTCTTCAAGGGAAGGTCAAAGCATCCTTAGCCAGTTCATTACTATGCACTTAAAAGATCTGGGTGAATCTCCCCATTAGGAACAGAAAAACAGAAATCTTTTCATCTTCTATGGGAGCAAAAGTGCTGCTCTGCTGACCATCTCAAATGGCCTGGCAGGAAATGTCGATTTACTCACTTTATTAGCCAGGAGCAGGCAAGGGACAGGGCTCCCATCAGGCAGCTTCAGCTTGCTATCCAAATCCTGCTTCCATTTCTGGCAGCTGGTGAACGTGCTCATGCTGGTGACATCAAACATGATCACACAGGCTGATGCCTCTTTGTAATACAGCCGAGTCATTGATGTGAAGCGTTCTTGTCCTGAAGGTGTTAAGGTGGGAATAAAGGCAGGGATTGTCAGATTCGGTCACTGTGTGAACTGCCTCTTCTGTATTTCAATATTACATTTTTGCAAATTGAAAAAAATATGATCCAAGAGAAAGTAAAACAAATGGAGTCTTGCCTCATTCGTAGACTCACTTGGGCAAGAACAGTGAAAATAAAGGAAGAAGCAGTGTGGGCCATAATAAAGGTTTATTTTAATAAGTTGGAGGATTAATCTGTAGGTCAAGGACAGCATGCGGTGAAAGCTCATAGGTAGCATAACCATATTTTATGGCTCAAGTTTTAAGCCACCTATGGAAGGTAAGGGGAGGATAACAACATTAGAAGAGCCATGCTGGATCAGATCAGGGTTCACTGAGTTGAGCATTTGTACATCTAAGTTCTCTAATGTGTTAATTGAAAGATTAGCAATCTTCCTAAGGTATTTTCAATAATATTTACTTTATTCATGTGATATGTAACCTACCTTTCCACCAAGATAGACCACAATAATTAAAACAACAATAAAACAAAAGCATTAAAATACAATGTAAAACAATACACTAGCCAAAAAAGAAGGGGCATTCAACCCAACAGACCCACTTCCATGGCAAAGACCTGCTTGAATAAAAAAAATTTCCCTAAGAAGCAGCAAAACTAGTCTTCCTTTGCAGGGAATTACCACTGAGAAAAACCACTTTCTTATTGCCATCAAACATATTCCCAAAGGTGCTAGTCTTGAAAAAACGGCATCTACTGATGATCTAAAGGCCTGGACTGTGTGTGTGTGTGTGTGCGCGCGCGTCCGCAAGAGAGAGAGAGAGAGAGAGAGAGAGAGAGAGAGAGAGAGAGAGAGAGAGAGAGAGAGAGAGAGAGAGAGAGAGAGAGAACGCCCACTTGGGTGATAAGATGGATCCTTGAAGAACACCATAGCCCAATGACTACAGCAGCAAACTGGAATGTCCCAGCATCGCCTTCTGAAATTGCCTCTCCAAAAAGAAACAGCCAGCATAGATCAGTGCCTCCCAATCCCATCTTCAACAGATACCTCAGAAAGATACCATGGTCCAGCAGAAACAAAAGGGACACACTTCTCCTGTTCAGTTCCCCCTGTAGATCATCTACAAGACAACCAAAGGAGTCCCTCTCCCATAACCAGCCCTTAACCCAGACTGAAGTATGTATGTTGTGCCAAACACCTACCTTCAAGTAAAAACTCTCAAAAAATGGGAGACTGCAGGATTCAGTAACTGGCAGGGGATGGAATCATGACAGATCACTGGGATTCCACCCCCAGGTCTTGCCAGATTATCCGGGAAATTACACAGTCCACATCACCCCTCCCCCCCAAAAAAACCCAAACAAAAAACAAAACAAAAAAACCAAGACAGAAAATATGCTCATAGAAAGTTATATGATACAGGGATGTGGGGACTTTATTCCCCTTTGGTGCTGCTTTTAAAAATGATCTTTGCCTATCTGAAAAAGGATGAACCAGGAAGGTAACTACAATAAATATCAAAAATGCCATTACCAAAGAAAGTACACAACATTTCAAAACTCACCTGCAATGTCCCATAGCTGCAGCCTTACTGACTCAGACTCTGTCCACTGCACCACCTTCAGAGCAAAATCAACTAAGCAATCACAGAAAGAGAAGGAAGGTTAGCAGCTAAGCAAAAACACTGCACATGTGTACTTGTCCAACTAAGCAATCCTGTTTCAGGTTTTATATACAACTGTAGGCTACCACAGGAAATTTGCAACTACAGCAGCTGCTTTGGCCCTGTAGACTTGACAGTATTTATCCCCATCTTCCTACTAGTGTGGGGCACGATGCACAAGCCACAGCATTATTTTAGCATTGCTAAATGGAACACGTTCATGCTTCAGTAAATCACACCGATTACGGGTGGAAACAGGCAACTACTAAGCATGTGAATGTTGCTTTGAAACTCCCTGGCCTCTGAAAAGTTGTAACCACATAGAGAGTGAGTCTTTGGAGTCTGCAGCCATTTGACAAGCTAAACACCAAGTTCCTTTGCTTCTCTAGATTTCTGTAGTAGTTGCTGTCACAGAAAGCTTTCCATCAGAAAATTGAACACATTTCATGCATGTTTCCATACGCAATGCACATGCACACACTTACAATTTCTAAAACCTGTGTGGTTGCATCTACCTGCCTGGAATAAAAAGTTATGGCACCTGAAATAAGAAGACAATTAGTTTGTCCTGAGGAAGAAGCCTCCCATGTTTCTCAAGAAATCTTTAGCATAACAATATTTTTATTTTATCCATAAGCTACAATGGTATCTTCAGTGCAATCTTACTGACTTTTATTACAGATTTAGTACTTATCTGCTTTATTACAAGGACCATCGTCTCTAGCAGCAGCCATCTTGAGTTCTTCAGAAGGCAGAAAGGCAGGATATAAATACAATAAATGAATACATAACAAGACCTCCCAAAGGGCCCATCCAGCATGGCCAGGGATTATGGGAGATGTAACACAAAACATCTGGAAGACGCCACATGTCCACCCCTGTCCAAGTCCATAGTTTATTGTGACTGTCCATGTGAAACACCTGAAAGTGCTTTATAAGTGCTTATCATAATACAGAGCACTAAAAAATTAAAATAGTTTTAGATGACATTCAAAATTATATGTCCTTGACACTTGTGCAATCTCAATCTATGTTTGATTTACAAATCACGGTATGAACTGGGCAAAACACATTTTTCTGGAATAATACACTATGCCGTGGCTGCCAAGAACATACTGACCCTGTTCTCATATAATGACTAACTATGGGTCAGGACTCCCCCTCCCACACACACACACTACTTGCTTTGAATTTGCTAAGCAAGCAAGATTCTAATGCATGGGCCTGGAACTCTGGGTTGCTGTGGAGGAAACAAGCTGGAATATCAACTTATGGTTTGTTGTGGGGTTGAAACTTTGGGTTGTTTGTCCCTCAACATCTCAGAGCTGGAGGTCACAAGAACCAAAGCAAAATGGATGCCAGTGGATGCACAGAGGGTACTGCACTTCCTTACAGCTGTGCCTCCCCGACTATGTTCAATTTATACACAACTGTTACACAAGAACCAGGTCACAACATCCCAGAATGGAGGCAAAACTGGGGCAAGCAGAGTGTTGACTCTGTGTTCCACATGAGTAACAACAGACATTTAGTTGATACACACAGATTTTAAAAAATACCATGTAGGTAAAACCTTTCCTCCCAATGGAAAATCTTTCAGAAAGACTCTTTTAATTCTTACCACAACTGTCACATCATATACTCTCAAGGTACCCTGGACTTCAGTGAAGTGAGTTAGAACTTCATATCTGAAATGTTGGACCCGCTAGAAACTCTACAGTTAATCAGATAATTTTGATTAGGGTCAGCCTTATACAATGGGGATAATTTGAACTAGGCAACTAGCTTTGCTAATCTTGCCCTACTTTGATTCTGTTCTTTAACTAATCAACTTATGGACTTAGTGCAAAACTAAGAAAAACATTGAAAGATTATGCTCAAGAAGATTTTTAAAAATAATAATTAGGCAAAAAGTACTAATCAAAGTTCTGTTTGGAGGGCAACTTGAACCTTAATTTCCAACCACCACCTGTATGCACTACTTGAATAATATTACTGCAACCAGTTCCCTTTCACCAACCAAGTAATAAAAATAAGTTTCCTGCAAGTCAGTGAGCTGGACACCCTAAGTATTACACTTCCCCTGACCACCTGTGGGGTGGGGTATAGAAATACATAAATCTGGTGAGAGCCAGTGTGATGTAGTGGTTAAGAGCATGGGACTGGGACTCAGACGATCTGGGTTCTAGTCCCCGCTCAGCCATGGAGCCAACTGGGTGACTTTGGGCCAGTCACAGACTCTCAGCCCAACCTACCTCACAGGGTTGTTGTTGTGGGGATAAGATGAAGGAGGAGAATGATGTAAGCTGCCTTGAACCCTTCGTAGGAAAAATGCAGGATATAAATCGGAAAAAAAAAAATCCAAACTAGTTAATAGCTGTTAGCTAGGTCAGTCATGTTTTAAGCTAGGAATCCTTTTTTTAAAGGCAGACTGGATTTAAATCATGGTTTTCTACATAATTTGCACATGTCCCTGCCTTACTTGAACTGGGTCTCTTTTACAGCCTGCTGCCATTATATATTTTCTCCTTCAGGGAAAGAATAATATGATAAACCTCAGGCTATACACAAAAGAGCCAAAGACATCTGCTGAATGGTGCTCAAAGGGTTTCACTTTCATTTTTACTGATTGCCCCCCCACTTCTCTTAGCTTCTTGTGCAGATCTATTTCACTCCCAACAATCTTTTATTCATTTAATTTGTTGAAACTTAGTTCTTAAGAGGTAAGGGGTTGATTCTGTGTGCATAGATTTGCAAAGGAACCATGGGATTAAGGTCCTTTTCTCAACTCTGTATATATCTAAGTTTTTTTTTCTGAGAAGAAGAGGCATGTGATCTGTGCAGACATAAATTCACAGTTTTGAGAATTTTAAAACCAAGCACCTGTGATAATATCTTCTAGATAGAAAAACTGCCCAATAATCTTACAGAAACCCCTGAAAGAGCATGACATTTTGAATGGATTGATGAAATTCATTTACCAAAACAAAAAAATAAACATTGCATGAATATACAGCCTCATGCTACATAATAAAAAACTAATACTTATTTCATGATGAATGACCTTTGGGCTATAATGTATCTTAAAGACAAAACTATCTTTAGATAGATTTTTGTCAAAAAGCATTTTATTTAAAAAAAATCCAATTTAAATAAAAAATATTAAGTAAAAAATACAATTTTATTAAATTGATTTTTCTCCACCTTGGAAGGAGAAGAGTGAAAACTGATCAAAGTGGAATGTGGACAAACCTTTCAGCAGGAGAAAAGTGGGCCCTTTGCTGGAGTGAGCGCTGAGCCAGCCATCCCACAAAGTAAACTGAGGCATCAGCATCAGGTGGCAGAGCAGGAGAGGCAAATTGTCCTCTGCCCCAGGCAGGCATGTCATCACTGCCCTGCCACCTCTAACAGGTGCTCCGGAAAAACACATCAGCTGCTCTGCCACCATGGCATTTGCTGCAGCAAGAGTGGCCACCTGAGTTCTGTGAAGCAGCCATTTCCCTCACCATTCACTGCCATGGCATCGGCTCCATGGAAAGAACTTTCTCACAAACTATGCATATCCATTCTATATCACACCAAACCAGAAATCTGTTACCTTCTTTACAGCCTGTAAATTATCCAGCTATAGTCACTGCAAAGCTTTTAGGAGCCTCTAATAGAACTTTTCAATACCAAGTGGATTTATTCTCAGGAAGGTCCTCTGTTTGATGCAAAAGCCCACCCTAGGCAAATTGAGGGTTGCTGTATGGTTGTGCCCCATCAGCTATGGGAACATTCAGTCAGGTGCTAGAGCTATCAAAAGGCAATCCTGCAGCTACACCATCTTTCCTTCCTTAGTGGATTTTTGGTAGTTCGTTTTTTTAAAGATTGAAATAGTGGGGAAAACTAACGAGAGGTGGGAGGTGAGTTGTGAAGAATGATTTCTCCTGTGCCGCCCCATACCATGTTTAAGGGTCATTGACTGAAAGACAAAAGCTTTGGATTATCCAGTGTGAGTAGACCCACTGAAGTAAGACTAACAGATACGTCAGGAAGCACCTAAGCTCCATGACACAGTAAACCATTCAAAATGACAAGTGGTCATTGTACTTTTCCACCCCTCATCTCCTCACTGTTTGCTTCTGTCCACCCACCACTGCTTGACTTGTAAAGGGGTGGCTATACAGGATATTTAAGAGTTTCCCCTCCCTTCATTAGAAGAAGATCATAGTAATTAGAAGATCCTCTCTCAAAGTACATCTTATGGAGCAATGCTTACAAGCTGCACCGTGGGGGCTACAGCAAATCTCGGCCTTGGGGCCCACTCGGGTCTCTTCATAACATGTTTGCTTTTTAGACATTAGAAGCACAATGGCTTACAATTATATACAAGGCTAAAGCAGTTGCTACTTCTGCAGCCACATTCAAATTAATTAAAAGTAACTACAGGCTTCTCAGATAAAAGGAAACAACAAGACAGCAGGTTTTTTTTGCAAGCAGAGTCAAAAGTGCTCTTTTCCCAATCACAGCAAAACATGCCCACTTCCTCTTTAATTTTGTTTTCCTTTATCTCAGTCATGTCAACATTAGATAATGTATGATATAAGGCATGTAATTCAATATACCATATCTACCTATATATTTATTATATTTGTATCCCATCCATCCTCCAAGGAACTCAAGGCAGCAAAAGGGAAGCTTCCCTTTCCTTTCATCCTTACAAGCAAAACGCCCAAGGTAGATTAGGTTGAAAGATGGTGATTGCCCCCGCTCCAGTGATTCCATGGCTGGGCAAGAACTGGAAAACAAGTCTCTTTGGTCTGAGGCTAGTGCTCCATCTACTGTGTCAGGGGTGGGCACATAGGGTCTTTGTTTTTTGTTTTCACCGAAAACCACAAACTGGTGCCTGATGTAAAATGCACACACTTAAAATAAAGAATTCTAAATCCAGAACTTTGTCCTAGCACCAGACTGAATTATTTCACACAAAAATCCATGTCTGGGTACTTTATTTTACCAATATAGTTGAGAAAGTGATTGTGTCGCTGCTATTGTTAAGCATTGAGAATCTACTGTAATTCATCCAGAGATCTTTCAGTAGATCAAACAACTTTCTGCCCATCCCTGCACATATTACACAATGCTGGTTCTGAAAGTCTTTGCAAAATCATAGGCAATGGAAATGAACCACACATTTTAAGATGATGATACTAGACTGGCTTTCTGAATTAACTTCTCATATCATAAGTGCTCAGAAATTCATCTGGTGCTATGGTCTTCAATTTACAGAGTCAGAAAAAAAGTCAAAGATATTTTAGGAAACATACGTGTAAAGAATAACCACCACAATACTTTCATGAATCCAACTGAAGTACCATAAAGCTATATTTAGCTCTGCAACCAAAGAAGCTATAATTTTCAAAGAAATCAGTGGGTAAAGTTTATTTCAGTGGTGCTTCCAAAGCATAGCTTGTTTATTTGTAAGTGTCTAAAACTGGGGTGCAGAACCTTAGGCCTGAGGCCACATCCAGCCAGCCTGGGACAAAACCTGGCAGCCCTGGGGCCCTATCTGGCCCTTCCCCTGGTCCGAATCAGTTGGATTCCCAGTTTCCCAACTTTTCCTCATTCTAAGAGGATTCTAAAATGCCTCTTCTAAGGTTTACTGACTGGCAGTAAGAACTTTAAGCTTTAGAAAGGCTGTTGCTTATGGTATTTTGTTTCTGCCCCATTTTGCTTTCAGCTTTGTCCTGCAATGGAATGTGGCCCCAAGAGCCTCTCCAAAATTGAATTTGGTGCTCAAAATGAAAGAAGTTTAACCTCTTGATCTAAAATCATTAAAACCCAATGCAAAGAAGCTGAACTGATCAATGAACTATTTATTTAGTACCAATTCCACATTAAGTATTGTTAAAATTACAGTCTAATGGCTCAAGAGCCACTTGGCTATTATGTCGGTACATTTTCTTTCTATACTATAGCTGGGTTTTTTTTTTTTTTTTTTTGCTTTACTGTCAAGTATTTTCAAGTTATGCTCTGCCAAACTCTTAACCGAAGAGGTCAGATACTGCTGGTGTCATCCACTGAACATGTTTGCCAAGCACCAGTGAAGGTCAGCCTACTATTTGCCCTGTCTACAACCATGCTGTGCCTATCAATATAATTATCAATTCTTCAAGCCATGACACAACAGAAAAAATGTTCATGCTATCAGGTTAGCTGTCTTGTTTCAAGACAGAATCCACCACTCAAAAGGCAAACTACAACATTATAATTGGAATCGGTTGTTCTAGAGAGCAGAACTAGAACAAATGGCTGGAAGTTGCAACGGAGTAGAATCTGGCTAAACATTTGGAAAAACTTCGTAACAATGAAGGCAGAAACAAATAGCCTCAGGCAGTGGTAGCTTCTCTTTTGCTGAAAGTACTGAAACAGAGACTGCATGGCCATCCGTCAGACATGCCGTAGCTGTATCCTGCATTGCAGAGCCTGCATCAAGCAAAGGGTTGGACTAGATGATCTTCAGCATTCCTTTCTAACTTGATGATTGTTGGGCGGGGGGGAGGGGGGGACTACCCTGGAAAGTGGGATGCTCACTTTCCCACATAATTGTTATCTGGCCTGCAGCTGTAGACATCAGGACTGATACTGGGTTAAGGACTTGGAAATGAAATTTAACCCCTAGGCTCTATAAGGTAACTGGAACTGAGAGTGACAGTGACTAAGCAGACCACTTCCTCAGGAATGTACAACTCATCTTGCAGTATCCAGTGACAATACTGTTGGATAATAAAAGGAACTCTGCATACTTCCAGACACAACAGAGAACAATAGACAACTTGCTGTATCAATGGCTGCGTGTCTTGGTCATTCCTTCAGTTTTGGTAGGTTCTTTTCTCCTACTCTTCCTCTTCCCTCATTGCCTCTGCAATAACCAGTATGTGCTTTCTCCCAGAGGGAAGCAAGTAACCATGACGTTTTGCTGACTTACACTCATATACCCACCTTTAGGGGGTGCTTGTCATTACACAGTGTTAGCTTTCTTAAATTATGTATATAAAAGCATGAATCAAGTAAGTTGATTCCAACTTCTCAACTGGCTGTAGCCTGTGTTTATTCCCTGTAATATGAAATGCTGTGTTGCCCTACTTGCTTTGTATAAGGCAACTCTGCTGTAAGTCACAGCAGACTTTCAAAGAGGTACTAGGTTAGATGTTACATGACCATATCTAACCCTTCATGCCAGTCCTTAGATGCCCTACCCATCAAGAAGCCAACAGTCTCGTCACATGCAAATTGATGACGTGGTAAAAGTTTGTTTTCCTGTCACAAAAGATACACCCCTCTGCACTGACTTAAACATTCTCTTTCCCATTCACAGTAACAGAGGTTTGCCTAAAAGAAATTGCAATCTTTATTTTGGTCCAAAGACATAATTTATGGAGGAGAGAGTAGAAGTAAATGCTCCACTCTGATAGCCCAAAGGGGTTCTAGTTTTTTTTTTTTTAAAAAGGAAATCACATGAGACACAGCTCATCCTTGACATAGGAAACGCTTGTTTGCCAGAGTCACTTTCTCATATGGAACAAAAAGTTAAACCACCAGAGTGGCAGACTGTAATTAAGAACTGGAAACTACAATATAACTGAGTAGCTGTATTTAAAATCCAAAAAAACTGGAATGGAGGAAGCAATAGAAAAGTTTAAAAATAGATGGGATGGTTTGGCCATGAAGTCTGCTGTTCAGACAAGATCTCAGGATGGAGACTGTAGACTGACTAAATGTAGACATATTAATAGGACACCTCTGTGGCACATTGCCTCTCAAGGTGACAAAAACGCTGTTTGATTTCAAAGGGTGGGAACTCAAAGGAGGTAGAAAGAGGAACTGAGATATGCAACATGCAAAAAAACAGGAAATAAAAGAAATGAACATCTTTATAACTTAAGTTATAAGAAAGTTATAATTAACTAAGTTTCTTTAATTCTGACTTCTGTCACTGATACATTTGAATTATATAGCCCTCTTCATCAGACAGAATGTCAGGAGAGAAAAGAATGTTACAGTCAATAAAACAATTCATAGCACCAAGAGAATAGAATACTTTGTTTAAAAAAACTCTTAAGAAGAACTCATCAGCCTTCTCTTACAAAGAAATATTTATCAGAGCAACGGGGGAGGAGGAAACGAGGAGAACCAAACACTCACCTCCTACCGTAGATTTGTAGTGCTTGTTGAAACTATCGTTAGCATACCGTTGGACCAAGGACGTCTTCCCAACTGTGGCATCCCCGATAATCAGCACCTTGAACATATGGTCGTGATGGCCCACCATGATTTGAAAGGGCCAAATCAACTAATGAAAGCACACTCCGCCTTTTCCCCTCGGTTTTCAGAATGGACATCCACGTGAAAACGGGACACCTCGCTTTTCCCTGCAGAGAAAAAAAAAATCTGTGCATTCATCGCTAGTCCCCGAAAGAACAGGAAATGCAGAACGTAACGCTTCCTGGTTTTTCCATCTGCAGGCATCACTTTCATGTGCGCTTGCCAGCAGTCCCCAAATTTAGACGGGCAAGGACTCCCCCCCCCCGCCCCTTCACTCATACACACTCACTCAGTCCTGCTTTTATGTTCAATTTTGCACTTTCTCTTGAGACTATAGTTCTCGATAAGTGAGAAAGGGTACGATGCAGAGTTTTCAGCAATTTGTACCTACCCGCCCTTCTTTACTCATTAAAACACACGAGTCTCAAGTAGAATTCTCCACCCCGTTAACAGCGCAAAAGAATATTCAATCAAGCACTCTTGCTTGGCAGAAAAGCCAGATCTGTATCCGTAGTTGTCGCTCCGTGGAAGCAACAGGTCCCTTTCAGATTCAAAGAAAAGCGTTTACAGTGTGCCAAGAAAAGTGCAAAATAGGAGATTTAGGCTGCGCTTCCTCCCGAGATGATACGGCACGCACTTCCTCACCCAGTAAGCATGTCAATCGCCGCCGTCTCCGTTTCACCAACTCCTTTCCGCATTCCCCTGACTGTCACGTGAGGGGCCAGGCGGCTACTCTGCTCCATTAAGGGGAACTACATTACCCGGCATGCATATGAAGAGGGGTGTTGTTCCATAGCTTTGAAGCTGCCCCACGGGAAATGTGGTGCTCCCTTTCAGAATTCCTGTTAGTGTAATATCTTTGCCTCATCACAAAAGTATGCAAGCTTACAAGACCTTCAGATCTTTTTCTCAAGCAAGATGTTACAGAAGAGGAGGGAGATGACTTGGACAGTAAAATCATGGGTGTTCTCTGCATGCTTATCATCATGAGATAGAATAAAGAGGAATGGTCTGCAGATGTTCATATACAGCTCTAGCTAGTAATCTGATGGTTTCAAGTTTCGCTTGGAGCTGCTGGGAGACAGAAAAGCAGACCTCTGATTATCCGTCCTTTAAAACAATCCCGCTCTTAACTCAGAAAATCGTTATGATCAACTCGATTACCTTTGCTTCTTCTAGTGTTTTAGGTGAGCAGACATGCAGCTAAGTTTTTTGCTTAAAGGAGTGAAGTAGTAATAGCATCCATTACGGACGTGCAGAAATGGTACCTTGTGCATACGAGGCAGCAGGTAAAAATAGTTCCCTCCAGCATTTTTCATAGATGCAAAGTAGCAAACGCTTGTAATCTAACTCCTCCTTACGGCTTTATCTGCAATAGCTTGCCTTATGCCATATTTTATTTTTCTTCTTTTAACAAGGTGTTGTTCTTTTGGTTAAATATGCCCTAAAACAAACCTTGTACTACAATCTGATATCGAAATGAGCTTCACGCATGGGTAAAATGGTAGTTATACAGCACTTCATTTGCACATGTGTATATATTTACATGGGGGGAGGGGACCTGTTGTCCTCCAGGTGTTGTCCGTGGCCCAATTCCCATGAAGCCCAGCTGACCAGGGTAAAAGGCAGGAAAAAAAGAACAGCTGGAGCAGATGTACTTTTACCAAGTCACTCTATGCCTAGAAAAAAAAATCCTTTGTGTGCTTCATTTGCCACAGACCTGTATTCTAGACTTCAGATATTCCTATTATTTTGCCAGCCTGGCTTCATTTATCCTCATTTACCTAGCAGCAGCACCAGCTCCGGGTTCTGAGGGCTTTAGGGCAACTCATATTTGGTAGCTTAAGAGATTTCACACATTATGAGGTGAACATAATTTCTGGCAAGATAAGTACTTTGTACCTATTACAAACCTAAAGCATCACAACATAGAGCTACATGGCCCAGGGGGACAGAATAACAAAACTACTGATTTCAGCATTATGAAAGAAAGCAATTTAATAATCCATCAAACAGAACCTCTTTTATACTGCTAACCAGCATGAAATAGGTGCACCTTCAGAATTAACAAATATTGGACAAACTTTTCTGGATTAAGGTTCCTGCATTTGTCAAATTTTCTTCAGTTAGCAGGGAATAGAGAGATGCATTCATACATACACTCCAAAATTGTAGACTCTGTGGCCAAATGGGCAGGAAATACAAAATGTATTATCTGAGAAAAGGAGGGAAACATGCATTAAGTGCATTAAATACGGATTTAAATTGGGAAAAATTGTTTTCTGTGTCTCTTTATACCCTTCCCACATTACACATTCACTTGAGTAATAAGTAAAGGTTAAGATTACAAGATCAGTGAATAAGTGTAGCACAAGGAAGAGAAAGGAAAAGAGTTTGAAGTAGTATAGAATATCTATACAAGTAGTATTCTCAGATTTTTATTTAAGATTTAAAATATACTCAGTTCCAGTTGAAGAGGGCAACAAGGATGATATGGGGAACAGAAGCAAAGCCTTATCAGGAGAGATTGAAAGAACTGGGCATTTTTAGTCTCATGAAGAGAAGACAGAGCTTCAGGTATTTGAAAGGTGGTCACAAAGAGGAAGACCAGGCTCTCTTCTCAATTATCCCAGAATGCAGGACATAGAATAACAGGCTCAAGTTAAGAAAGACAGGTTCTGGCTGAATGTCAGGAAAAACTTCCTGTTAGAGTACTGTGACAATGGAACCAATGGCCTAAGGAGGTTGTGGGCTCTCCCACACTAGAGGCATTCAAGATGCAACTAGACAGTCATCTGAGAGGGATGATTTAGCTAGGAGATCTGCACTGAGCAGCGGGTTAGACCTCTGGCCAGCTGCCCCCTTCTGACTCTACTGTTTTATGATTCTATGAACTATCACTTTAATTAGAATTAAAGTCATAATTCTATGGCTTTAATTATCATAGAATTTTCTAGGATGCAATGCATTGGTTGGTAGACACTGTTGGCTGGTCTTTGGGAGAATTCAGAGTCCCAGCTCTGACTTCAAGGTCAGAGCTGGGACTCAATTTGGAGTACTCTTCCCCAAGCTCTCACAATCAGTGCAATTCTTTGTCTGCTGGCTATGGCTCTGAGGTTGCAACAATGACTTCAGAACTGGCATGTAGGAGGGATGGGCATTCTAGTCTGGAGACAAGGACTGACGCTGTGCTGGGTTATGATGTATCCTAGTGGTGCCTCAGCCTATTTTCCTGAGCAGATGCAAAAGACTTAAGATGGGCAGAATTGCCCATCTAAATCTTCTGGAGGGTGAGAGAAATGCAGAGGCAATTCCTTCTATCCTCAGTTGGATAACAACTCTCTTCCATGTTTAGGGAGTCATTGACAGCATGCAGCTTGAAATATCATCCATACCACACCTCTTTACTGCTTGAACTGCAAGAGTATACTGCAATATACTGCAATTTCAGTATATCAGGAACCTAATGCATCCATTTGGAGAGAGGATCCAGGCATTAAGATTCCAAAAGTGACTGAGGAAGAAAATCTAAACCTATATGGAAAAGACCAACAAGTAGGCCCGATAGTGTAAAGCAAGATCTGGAAACCAGATCTACCATTTGATGGAAAGTTGCATTCTTTTCAATGATAGTCAAAATGAAACAAACTATATGATTGAGCTGTTAGTATACAGAACAGTTCAAGTTACCATCGCACCCTTGAAATGGCCTTTACCTCTAAGAGTAGCATTCTTTTTCTTACTAAAAGCCTCAAAGTCCATCCCACTGTAGTTTTCTAGAAGAACCAGGGATTGTTTAGAAATATCAACCACCAAAGTTCCTGCAGTATGAACAGAATTATTTTACTAGTGTTTTTGGAAGACTTTGTGGGGAAAGAAAAGGAAAAGATGGAGTACATCTTTGCTGTGAAATGGAGCCCTTTTCACAAGAGTTTCTCATAATTGCCCTTCCTACAGTCATACTAAGAATCCTGTTCTAGAATTTGTAGTTTGGTCTGGAACTGGACGTAACCTAAAATACAACGAAAGAATCCCAAGACTTACTTTCGCCTAGTTGCAGGTAACAGGAAAGGAAAATAGCAGTAAGTTAACTGCTTATTATTGGGATGGTTACATGTGACTCACTGAGAGAGAAAAAGATGTCAATCTGCATAAATTTTATATGCTAATTGATGTATATGCAAAGTCATAAATTATGTTAAATACTGTGCATTTCACCACATGATGTTTTCTAAAGTTAGTCCTATGTACAGTAGATCTACTGAAATGAACAGGGCATAGATTAGTCAAGACTAACTTAAATATCATTCATTTCAGTGGGTCTACTCAACAATGGATGCTGCCTGATATGTACTGGACTAAGTGACCAGTGTGCCCTACCTGGTCTGCTGTCCAAGTGCTGTTGATAGGCAATTTCAAAGTCCGATTCTTGCTTTAGATGATTATCTTTAAACTGGACATGCACTAGACCACCATTCAGAGGACAATTCTCTGGTAGCACTTCCATGTGTAAAAGACACATGGCCACTCTATTTTTTTATCCCATGACAACAGCTGAAAGACTAACCTATTTTATTAAGTTATACACTTTCAGGAACTGGAGTAAGGCGAATGGATAGGGTGAGGTAGACACGCAAGAAATTTTGTGGGCTTATTTTACAAATTAATGTAGGCAGCTGTAGACCATTTGGTTTTTTATGGAATAAAAATAAAGGACCAAAAGCCACATAAATAAATGTAATCTTTATTTTACCAAATATAATTTATCAGTTAAATTGGCACCTGTCAATTCAGTTACAGTAACTATAAATAATTAAAGGTGGTTTTCATTTTGTTTGTGTATCTGTTTTAATAAAGGTGTAAACCAATAATTCCATCATTTGCAGCCAAGTCTAAATATGCATGCATTTGAGTGCAACTGGTGAGAATAAAATTCTTCAATACTTTGAGATTACATTCTGTTCATACACTCCCATTTTGCTCTGCCACCTTACCCATTTGCAGACAGTAATTTAGGGATTTCACCCAAGCAGCACAAACACTCCAGCTCTGGATCTACGGTTAATTGCTGCCCTCAAGACCAGGAGAGTTTAACCCTTCAGTGAGATGTACAGAAATAGACCTTAACTAAGGACACATATGGAATGATGGCGGGGGGGAGTTGTACAAAGGGTGCTTCACATATAAAGAAACTGTGCAAGTGTTAGAAAACTGAAATACTGGATGCTTCCACAGTACATGCTGATGAGACACTTTTAAATGCTTAAGATTTAACAGAAGGAGGCAGAATAAGTCTTGAGTTGGTTTGAATGTTAAGCTATTTTGGCAAGTCCCTTATTAAGCAGAAACAAAGTATTGCAATGTAATTGGGCTAAAGGATGCCACTTCCAGCAGTGCAAGAACTGCCATTCACAGAAGAAAGGCAACATGACATCTGCATCACCATCCATTGCTTCTACCTAAGGCCACCTTGCCATGCAGGATGAAAGAATTACCCCATAAACATCTCTGCAGTATGATCATAGCTTTTTCTCTTGATGGTAGCTTAAAATATGAATGCTGGAATGGCCTATTGAAGCTATAGGACAACACTCACTTTGAGGATTGCATCTTGTAGTCAGTTTGAACTCATTTTGTAGCATTTTGGTACTAATTTCCTTTAAAAACGCTAATTTGATCACACTTTAAGACCCCTACATTGCCACTGTGCTGCCTCTAAGAATAGCCCCAAGGCCCAGATCCAAATAGTACAAAAAAGCCCTTATGCTGCAGCAAACAGCTTAAGCCCAACAAAGGGTCTTGTTGCTAGCAACAGTTGCCCTGTTATGCTTCATGTATAAAGAAAGGGCAAGCCATGTTTCTGAAGGCAACAGGTATTCAAATCTATACTTGGGCCTGTGGAAAGTATCGAGTCAGATTTAGGGGCCCAGCCTTCTTTACACATTCACTGCAATACAGGAATACCACATACTACTTTTTGCTTCAGCTTTATTGAGGAATTAAAGCAAAAAGGGGAAAGAGTCAAACTTACTATAAAATGATGTATCATTATGGGGAAGCTGAAGCTTTGCAGTGGGGGAATGCATTTGACAAGTATTCCTTATAAAAAGAGGTAGGCATGACATACACACTATTAAAATCTAGGCAACTCTGCTGAATCCAGTACCAAACTAAATCCAGCATAAGTCCTCATGCTTCCTAGGAAGAGCCCAGATTTTTAATGAATGAAAGGATATACCCTTGGCACACCTATTTTATGTATGCAATTTTTCTGTTTCCAATTACATATTTTAATTTACTTGTGCAAGGATTCCACCGGCATATGCAATGTAGTGTCAGATGCAGGACTCAAAGGTATTTCAGTACTTCTGTTGCATTGCCACTCATTCTTCTGTATCGGTGGGATCCACCACTAGCACAGAAAGGAGTTTATACTTTCCAAAGCAACCTCAGAAACAAACAGAATTCAATTCTGATTGGGACAATTCAGCAGAGATCTCTTCTGCAAGCTCAGTGACCAGGAGCATTTCGGAAGCTAGTATTTCTGCTCATTTTCATTCACTTCAAGCACTGCTGGCTCTCTGATACACTATTCCAGTGGCAACATCAGATAGCACTCTGTGAAGAGCAGGGCAGCCACCAGAAGTGGAAATCTCTGTTCACAGAATCTGACCTGTACCCACCATCTCCCTGCTTGCACAGATCAAAGCCTTAAAAGAGTATTCCAGTACAGAGTCAGCAAATACATCTGAAGTGTTTCACTCTAGTTTCCCCAGACTTGGATCTACTAAGGGACTGAAAGGTACAGTAAAGTGTCATACATTCCAGATAAAAAAAAACATTGTGCCAAGTTTGGACCACTAGGCTAACGAAGTGTTAAACATACAAGTGAAGACCTTTTTACCCCGTATGTGTGCAAAGGCATTTGATATGACCCGACTGTATCATGGTATGAGAGAACAAAGTAAAATCATTGTGTTGATTCAAAGTACTATCCAGTATGCATCTTGTTTTAGATATATCCAACAAACTTGTGTTGAGTGCTCAAAATCTCAAGGCATCCCTATCACAGAGTTGGCTTAAAATTATAGCCACATAGTTCTGCATCATAAATTTAGACTCATCTCATTATCAGGCATTTAAGATTTAGAGATAATGAGGGCATTAAGTCCATTAGTTCATGGTTTTGCAGATTCATATGAACCATTCACAAACAAGGAAACAGTAGGATGATTGAGACAATAGGTTGTAAAAGGCAGCAGACAAGCAAGCATCCAGGATACATAAAATGATGAAAACCCAACTCTCCATACTAGGGATAGGCAGTCAAGAGTACACTATACTTTGTGTCCACCTTTGTTTAATGGATTGCCATGTTTTTGCAAGTTTAATGCCTTATAACAACAAGTCACATTGTTCTCAAGCTGTTAGGCGGATGTTGGACTAGAACAGTAGTGTAAAATGGCCAATCCACAGCCAATTTAAGAGATTTAAGCATAAGATAAGCATTTCTTCCTGAGCCAGGATTTCATGGTCTCATGAACAAAAAATGGATTTGGAATGATTGGTAGGAGTAGACTATTATTTTAGGTAGTTTTATCTTCTTTCAAGATAAGAGAGCAATTTGCAGTCACCAGCATGGGACAGGAAGCAAAACAGCACAATAACTGATTCATTATTTACCAATTGCCATGCAGTTTTCACAGCCGAGTGTTCAGTTTCTGGCCAGATCAGACAGATTACTAGTGTAGGTAAGCAGGAGTGAGTATGCATGGTGTAAAAGCCATTTAATCAATGTCAGGACCCAGTGGTGACCATAGACATAGAACTCTTTTGTGCCAAGAGAATATGCAAATTCTCTCTCTCTCTCTCTCTCTCTCTCTCTCACACACACACGCACACGCACACAGACACACACAAACACATGTACATATGTGGTACTCTACAACTACTGCCTTGAGTGGGTGCAAAATGTGGAAGGTTGAATTTCTTTAAAATTTGTTGATCAATCGGTCTCTATATATCCTATAATTCAGATATTAACCACTATGAAATTGCACTTGGTGATTGTCTTTACACATTTTTCTTATTTTCTCCTTCCTAAAACTATTTTTTTCTGTACAAACTTGGCTTGAAATATAAACCACATACAATTCCCATTGAAAATAATGAGAATCCAGTATCAAAGTTAAAGTCCCAAAGGGAGACAGAGGGTGGCAGCAAGGCATTGTGAAGGGGAGGGGGGAATGTCACTGTAGATGATGAACTGGAGAGCAGAGAAGCTGAGGAAAGGATGTTTTTAGTCTCCCACATCTGTGTCCCGGTCCCCAATGAGCCAGAGGATATGGAAGCTGAGTGCCAGGAGACCTGTTCCAAGCAAGTCACCCAGTGCTGTCAAATAAGGTATTGAAAAGTTGTCAGGGTCCATGCCTCTGCCCCACATCCAGTGGACCATCCAGTCAGCAATGTAAAGAAGAATGAGAACCTGGAAGAGAGAAGCACAATGGTCATGTTAGCCATAGATGGAGCCATCAGGGCAGAGGAGAAGTGGCCTCACATGTTTGTCCTTGAATTAGGGAATGAAAGCTAGGCTTTTGTGCCCATGGGCACATAGTGCTAGATACAGGTTTTTCAGCATGTACGACAGCACTAGTCCTGATTCAGTACTAAAGGTGAAATATCCAGTCTTACGCAACTGCAGTGGACTGAATCGTGTTTCTAAAGGAAACACAACTCTATTTGGAGGAATTCCTCACTTCAAACAGCCGGGGGACCAGCAGCAGGGAAATCTGAGTCTGGAACCAAGGTATATGATGGGGCTCTAACTCGCTCCCTTCTCCTTTCAGCCCATTACTAGTAGGCAGTCAGCTGGGAAAGTGATGCAGCTACATGGGAAGCAACCAATTGCCTACCACACTACCTGGCAGAAGTGAGCACCAGAGGCGAAAGGAGCTTAAGTCTGTCATTTGTTCACTGGCAGAATGATACATCGCAGTTCTTCTCTTCCTGTCCTCCAAATGAAAGGCATGTTATCTAGTGCTGGAGGGAAGGCAGTGCAGGGCAGGTGTAGGCTTGCAATTTATCCCAGAGCATCCCAGTGGCCAGAGGACAATGTGGATTTACCATCCCATTAGGTTATGGGTGATCTGCCCTGGGAGGGTGAGATTCTGACTTTGGAAACCCAACTAGCCCCTGTATTTGATGGCCCTGCAAAAAAGGGAGGTATTAATATTAGAAGATGGCAAAAGTATATTTAATGAGTTCTCTGAGACACATTTTATACCTAATTCTATGTAATGTACCTTCTTAATTATGCCACAGGAACACTAGCTTTCATCCTACATACATGTACCTGGGAATTATTCAGTAAAACTTATTTCTAGATAAGTTATGCATACAAATATGCATATGATTTATAATCTATAAATATATAGATATGTCTATTCTTAACTGTGAGCAGACTGACATTAGAAAGCACTTAAAAGCAATATCAAGATGGAAAAATGGAATGGATAATAAAAGTTAAATGAGTTACAACTTAATGCAATAAAACTTTTAAACCCCCTCTGTACAGTGTCAATTAATGCTTCTAATTCTAATGTTCTAATTCTAATCTGAATTATTTTAATTTATTATGAGAAAGTGTTTTTAATTATCTGTTCACTTTTATTGCCAGTGAGGTGTGAGAGCCAGTGTGGTATAGTGGTTAAGAGCATGGGACTGGGAATAAGACGATCTGGGTTCTAGTCCCCGCTCAGCCATGGAGCCAACTGGGTGACTTTGGGCCAGTCACAGGCTCTCAGCCCAACCTACCTCACAGGGTTGTTGTTGTGGGGATAAGATGGAGGAGGAGATGTAAGCTGCCTTGAGCCCTTTGTAGGAAAAAGGCAGGTTATAAATTGAAATAAATAAATAAATTACATATCAGGTCCCATTTATTTGTAGCTTATCCTGTTGAACATAGTACTAATAAAGAAAGATATTCTTAGCTGGAACATTTTTATGGCAATAATATTTTACATGTGTTTAGTATCTGCCCCATATGCAAATAATAATTTCAGACTGACCATGTTGGTTGTTTTAGTTACAGTCCAGTATACCATATTTTGCTACTCCTAGTCAACATAATCAGTACTGAAGAGTTTTAGTGGCCTCCTGTTTTCTAAACTGCAGAAAGCATCAGATAAGAAATAGAAATATAAAGATATCTGTATCATAGTGTCATAACTTTAGACAAATATATAACCCTGGAAAGATAGAAGATAGGCCTATCCCTTCTTTACGAAACCTGAATACCTGCAGGACTGTGCAATTAATGTAAGTTATTCATAAATGTTTCCATTTATGCGTCAACTTTCAACTGAACAAGACACCAACCTCCTGCCTTCTCTTCATCTTCCATATTAAGACAATAAGTTGCAGTACAGGACAGTTCCACCAGTGTGTGTAGAATGAGTTGAATTCTAATCTTGAAGACTTTAAAACAACTTATCATACATTCACTACAGTGTATAATAAGCAATGAATAAATAATCTATAGACCTCAAAGGGCAAATATTCTAAAGGAATGGTGTTCAGTCCAATGAACTGTAAGCATCACTGTACTAAACAAGCTCGGTCAAGTTTAAAATGTTGCTCAGGCACAAGAACATTGTCTGTGTTAGGGCTAAAGGAAGAAAGACAAATCCAGAGAAAGCACTCTTCCTCTAACTGTGGCAGGGGAGCCGTAAAAGACCCATGTCTGCTTTTTTAGCCAAGTCCCAGTCTCATCACTGGTCATGTGGGTCAGCTAAAGCAAAGACTTACCTGGAGTAGTGCTGCAGTCATGTAGAAAACTATAAAGATCAAGGTGAGTGTTGTGTGGCCTCCTTGCATGGAGCTGATGGTATAAAGGAAAACCAAGTGGCCAGGAACCACCAGTAGGAAGAGCACCCGAGCAGACCGGGAATTCACATCTGTATGAAAGGGAAGGGAGTGAAGAAGACAGCTGAGTAAACCAGGCATAAACTAACTGAGGGGAGGTATCTCTGCTTTTTTGTTCCAGCATTAGTTCCACCCATTTAACAGACAACATATACTGTCAGGGTCATATAGGCTAAAAAGCATTGTTAGGTCCTCAAAAAGATCCTATGGATCCCATGAGACACAAATCTGAATAAAATCTGCTTATGCCAATTGATATCTATCTATGCAAATGTAAAAATGATTACTAGGATTTAAATTTCATAAAGGAAACTTCAGCCAGTTTCCCATCCAAATCATTCTTAATGGCCTGGTTTGCACAAGCATGGAGATTAGCATTATTACCCTTGGCAGAATAGCATTTTTGCTTCATGAGAACCCAGCCAGGATGGTCAGTAAGCCATGCCAGAATCCTACAACAGCCTGTGCAGTTTATTAAGCATTCTACTATTATACAAACCAGGTCAATAAAAATGTTTTCACTGATTAGCACCCTAACCCCAGATCATCACAAATCAGAAGTTGCTTGCTCATCTTGTATGGAACTGATGTAATTAATTTAATCTGTAACAGCTGTGAAAAGTGAATGGCTTAAGTTGCTGTGGGGAAGATTAACCCTTTTACGTCCACCTCAAAAAGGCAATATTTGTATCCAAAAGGAGTTTCAAACATTTGACAGACCATAAAAATTAAAACTCTCTGTATTTTTTGTCAGAGCTCTAATTCTAAAGCAGGCCATTTAGAGTCACCCCCACAATTAATTTTTCAATCCTCATCTAGATTCTGCTCCAGAATGTAATCCATTCCCCTTCAGTGACCCTATTCATAAATAATCATTGCCTTCATAATTTAAATTCAAAGTACAATAAAGTTTGTGTGTAAGGGTGTCTAAAAATGCTGGATGGATGAAGGAAGAAATGACAGCTGAAGAGTGATGGAGGGAAAGGAAAGTGTTCAAGATTAGAAATACAGTAAATGTGAAGGCTGGCAGGAAGGAGCTGGTTTAGGGGAGGGAAAAGATGAAGCAAGCATCTAAAAAAGCACTTTTCCTTCTTTTAAGGTAGAGTGGAAGTTCCAGCATGCAAGCAGGTGAAGGTGGACACTTAAGTCCTAGAAGATAGATTTGGGACTCAGTCCTCATGCCTAGAAATACCCCTCTGAAGTTCTGTGATTGAAATGTGAAAAGTGTAGCGTGTTCTTAATTTTCATATTCCATTCAAGTGTGAAACTGAGACTTGTTTGGTTTTGGCCTGATGTGTCTCTAACAATCAAATATGTTTTTTAAAAAATGAAGGCCAACTATTTCATCATCCCAGAATCCATGGTGTAATATAGTACCTACAGTCTCCAGCAGAAATTCTGTTACTTGTTCTTCAATTTCTCTCTTAAGACCAGTTCTGTACAGGACACTAATTAATTAACATCCTAACTTCAACTGAGGGTGTTCAAGGAAAGATTAAACAACCATATGCTGGGGATTACATGAGCAGAGCTGGCTGCAGCTAGGAGTCAGACTAGATGGCCCAAGTGGCCCTTCTGACTTGCTTTGTTTCTATGTTTCAGTTACTGGACAGCTATAAATGTATAGCCAAGATGTTCACTTACGGAGCTCTACAGGCTGTAAGACATATTTTCAGATTAAAGTAAGGTAAACCCTGCTACAGAATTTAGGAGGGCATGTGCCAGTAAGAAACTTTGAGAATATGCAGAATTGCTTATGACTTTTGTACTATTAGCAAGGACTTCAGATAGAGAATTACAATATGTGTAGCAGGGACTATGTAATTGAATTGCTTCAATTTAAAAGCACCCAGTTAAGGTTACTATTCTGTTCATATTGGAAAAGAGAAAGGGCAAGCAAAGATTTAGAGACTGCTGCAGAGCCAAAACTGTAGCTCGAACTAGCATGTAAAACTCGCAAAATGAGGAAGTGGGCAGAATTCCCCCTCTTATCCCAGAACCTGGAAGGGGTGGGGGGCAAATGCCCACTTTGTGACATTTTGCTATGGAAGTTTCTCCCCAATCTAGGCTTTGAGCTATGTGGCAAAGCCCACATGTATGAAGCACAGAGACCACGCCAAGAACTAGCACGTAAAACTCTGAAAAATATCTAGAAAAAAATACAGGTGATCTGCACAAAAATCCAGGAGGTCTATGTGCTTAGATTGATTTGATGTAGGACAAGAGCTATAAAGCCCCAAGATGTTCTGCAGGGGATGGGATAGAAAAGCTTTTAACAAACAAATCAAGCAAGCAAGCCAGCCAGAGCACATGTCAGACAAGAAATCACCATTCAGCCTTCCTTGTAATGATGTTCTCCCACCCACAGCCTAAACAGTTTTAAGATGCTAAGACTTTAAGGAGAAATATTCATGAGGCTACCTGAACTGAAGAAAGAACTGCAAGGGCTTGGGCACTTGCGGGGGACTATCTCTGAGCTTTCTCCAGGCATCCCATTCATGTGGAGGTAAGTGGAGATGCGACTAGCCTGGACAGCCACCAGATTGCCGCCAACACCTGCAGGAATAAGCAGATAATTGGGATAATTGTACGGAAGAACCAATCATTCCCCAGCATCGATATATCCACATCTTCCTTTCACATATGCAGGCAAGTGTCATTAACCTTTTGAACACATGTATGAGAATTCAAACAGGATTTGTTCCTGGGATGAGGATCATTTTACTGTGATAGCCTTTGTTTTGTCCAAGCTGAGATGAATCCTTAACAGCAAAGTAGTGTGGGCCTAGAGATGAACTGAGATATAAGAAATTTCTACAGACCCCAACAGGAATAAACCCCAATTTCTACTAGGAAGTGCAATATTACTGATAATACTGGTGGACAGAACCTGCCCTTGAAAGTTTCAAAGTGGTAACAAAGAGGCTTGGCTTACAACTAGCGCATCTTCCACACACACAAAATGAAAACAGGCCCACAAGAGCAGAGCACGGAAGTTTCTGAATGGTTGCACTTTTCCCTTTGTTTACATTCTTGAGTCTATTCATTAATCTTCTGAAACCTGGCTACTAATCAGCATCCTGTGACTTATGATGCCAGATTTAATAATGCGCATGGACCTTGCAATTAGTACACATTTATTCACTTCAATGAATGAGAAACACAGCAGATGCCCTATAACAAGGCCACAAGGTTTGGTGTAAGGAGAGAAAAAATATCCTTACAAATAATCTTGAGAACAGTCTCTTATTTAAGATTCCATAGAATTTACCTTCTATTAAAGTTACAGCATTGATAATACCCAAGAGGAAATTGCTTCAAAAAGCTGGATTTTATTCCAATAAGGGATAAGCAATTGTCAGTTTTCTAATAATCAGGAGGCTATATCAATTCTTGTATATATTCCTGTGCTTGTATATTTAAGCCATTTTACTAATCAGCATGGTAAATAATCCTTTCATTATCCACTTCTCTTTTGCTGACTTCTACTTAGGTTTCCAGTACTTTGCTTGTCCCAATTACTAGTTATGACCTTTTTTTCTTCTTAATATGAACCTTGATTTATTTAAGAGATAAACTGCTTATTCTCTAACTCATGACCAAGTTGGTGACGTTAACTTCACATTTAAAAATGATACGATCTGTGAATAACATTGGGATTTGTTCATAAGACTAGGAAACCATAAATAATATTGCAATTCAATTGTAAAAAAGTGTGTGTTGTCCTGTATTGTTTGAAATGTTTATGGAAATCACTGCCACAACGTGTGGTGATTAGAAAGCTTTAAAACAGGTTTAAAAAAAATAAATGCAGGCTACGCTCATTCATGGCTATATGTCATGCTGGTTATATGGCATCTTAATGGTCAGAGGCAATATGCCTCCTGATACCAGTTGCTGGGGACCAATGGGAGAGGGATATTACCCTCAAGTCCTGCTCGTGGGCTTTCCATATACATATGTTTGACCTCCAGTGGAAATATGATGTTGGACTAAATCTATCCCTGCAGAGACCGTTCTTATCTTTTAAAATGAGTTGTAAGAAAGCACTCTTTCTCCATGCAAGGTTTCAAAAGGCTATTCTAGCATTATTGTGAACACAAGTCAGATTCAGAGCTATGCAGGTGTAATGGGGCTGACAGAAGTGGATTACCCATCCCCATGGCCGCATCCTGATAATGCAACTCAGAGAAAATGGGAACCCTGTGCCCAGGGAGGTCTCCCCAACTCAGACAGAGGTAGCTTCCATGAGCAGAGCTTTCACTTGTCTCTGCAGGATTATTTGGTAACTTCCCCTTTTCCCTTGCCCCCTCCATGCCAAAACCCACTAAAATCAAAAGAGTTCCCATGCCCTCTATGCAGTGTTTTTATGGGTTTCCTATCAGGATGACCAGATTGAGAAGTCTTCTTTCAGCAATCCCGTATGTGTAACTCTGGTTCCAAATTTATGTTTTGCCTGCAAAAGCTGGTTTACAATTTAAACAAATCAAGATGGACATTCTTGCATAGTTTTTCACATAATTAAATCAAATTAATGTCAACTGAGAAATCAATACACAGTATGACAGCTAGATTTTGAGTCCAGCATTCGATAAGGCCTCATGGATGGGTGGGGGTGGGGCTACTCTGGAAGAAACTTAAACTGGTGCAAATTGTGGCAGCTAGTTTGCTAAATGGTTCATGGCATCCGGATCAAATTATACCTCTCTTGAATGACCTAGTTTTAAAGGTGTATATTTTAATATAGAATGTGGTATGCTTTTTGTGTAATCATAGGTTCTGTTAAGATGCTATAGGGTGTGCTTTTTGCTGTTGTTTGTGTAAGTGCCTGGTATCATGTTTTTAATGTCATATATGGTTTTTGGTCCATGAGGTCATGAAAAGTCAGACATGACTTGACAACTGAACAACTTGTCTATAATCTAGCCAGGGAGCTATGTGGCTGATGGGGCAGGCTAAAAAAATCAAATAATAAGTACTACTAATAAATAAATGACCTGCACTGGTTGTTAGTTGCTTTCTAGCACAATTAAAAGAGTTGGTTTCAAACTTGACAGATATAAATGGCCTAAGGACCTAGTAATCTACAAGACTGCCTGTTTTGCTACGAATGTGCCTGCTGGAGAAACCCTTTGGGGGGTGCTGTTACCTGCCAAGTGCCATTTGCAGGCATGTGTGAAAGGGCTTTCTCTTATGTTGCACTCCAAGAACTAGGGCTGGTTCTTTTCTTGGTTTTCATACCTATCTTTTTAATTTGGTGTTTTAGAATGAGTATTTGAGTCATCTTGTTTTTATTGCTTTAAGGTTTTATTGTTTAAATTGTTGGACATCACTTTGATGGCTTTTTAGCGGGTATACATGCCATATCTAAATAAATAAATAGTCATTAACTTCACTTTTGTTATCACACTCATTTTGTGTTGCACGATCCATACAAGAGTTATTTAAAAAATCCATAGCCACTGATTGCTCTACTCTTTGCAATTCTAAGCATGCCCTTAATATCAATTGTGCACTAGACACTGTGCAGGAGCAACATAGCCTCAACCCAAGGGTATTTCAAGCTACACTATTCTAGCCAACTTAACTACACACAATATAAAAGTGCTATGTCCCTCCTGCCTCTACACTCCATCCAAAGTGCAATATATTGAGGGCTCTGGAATACATCTGCAAACCCATAGCCTGAAAAATATTTCCCAAGCCTAAGGCTTTATATTTGGCATGCAGGCCCATGCTCTTAGCAGCCAGCCCTGTGTCTGACTATAGAGCAGAGGTGGCAACTTCTGGGGCTGGGAGGCCACACTGTCCTCCAGATGACAATAGAGGCTGCACACCTGTCCCTCCATGTTTAAATTTGCAGTGACAAAAAGTGTGCCTTCCCTTCAAGCAAAGGTCACCACTTTTTCTTGACACCATGAGAAATCCAGGAGTGGTGGTGCAGCGCAGTTGGGCCAGGGTTCAGGTTGTTCCACTCTGCTAGTAAGCCACCGTGCCACAGAATTTTTCTAAAGGGATGCTCTCTACTACCACCTCTGGAGTACAGTCAAGCAGCGAGAAGAACCATCTTCATTGAAAACCCCCACTCCCATGGCACAGCCAAGCTACTTAAAAATCTGCTATCTTGCATTTCCTTGTTCATAAAGTTCATTGGTAAAAGGAAAGAGAAACTCACCATTTATAACTGGGGTAAAGACGGCCATCCCTGCAAAATTTGGATCCGATACAGTTTTATCTAATATCAACCCTCCAACACTGCAAGGAGAAACAATGGAGAAGGTGTTGGAGGACAAAATAGCTGTATCTGTGCAAAAGAATCTCCACTTTAACCTGAAATACTTAGAACATTTTTTTCTCCAGTACAGCCTTGAATGCACCAGATGTACTTTGAAAGCACTAAATACATCCATTTCCTCAAATGTTTGTTTCTTTGAAGTGCATAAAATGCCTTTGAGAATATAGTCTTTGCAGCTTGTTACTAGGGTAAAGTCACAAATGGGCCATTTTAAAAGATGGAGGTTCCCAAAACTAGGAACATGGGAACAATCAAAAATTGTGTTTTTACCACAGTCAATCTTTTCCCTAAAAATGGAGATGAATTCCTGTGTGGCATCCAGACCCCTTTCCAAACTATTTTATTTCTGACAAAGCATTGCACATAGCTAGGGAAAAGAAAATTCAGACATAAACATTAATGTGATTTTGGACAAAATGCTTCAATTTCTTAGCAGTACAGCCTGACAGCAGAGAGACAGAAACTACTTGTCTAGCCCTTCAGCTAAGAAGTGGGTTCTCTAAACATATGGTTAAGGAATGCTATTGTAGAGTTTGTTTTGGGTAAGCAAGGAAAGTAAATAGAACTGACCTTCACAATTGCATGTTTACATGAACTTCTTAATACACTTCAGCCTTGGAAGAGTTTACAAACTTAAAGGGTAGACTAAGCTTAACAGAGGAAACCCTGCTGTTTCCCTTCCATTTTAGATATTGCTTAACCAGCAGATGGGCCACAGAGCTAAGAATCTGAGCCTGAAGCACCCTTCCTTGACCAAAGCTGCTTGCAGCCTTCCTACCTGCTAATAGCCATCGCAATAATGACGGGCTCCCAGCCAGAGTACAGCACCTCCCGGGTTGCTGGATTCCTCTTTGCAATGATGATCCAAAGGGGCAACAATGCAACAAAAAAAGCACAGACCAGGGGATTCACATAGGGCTTGGCCTCTGAAAAGAAGAACAAGTGGTCAAAGGACAGCCTTTGATGGGCTGGGTCAATGAGCACTGAATTGAAGCGGCAGTTGTCATACATATTTCAATTTCACTCACGGAAGCAGACAGCAATACTCTCTTGATCAACAGCAGAAATTAACATCTTGAGGATTACACATTGATTATTCGTGCACACTGTTCTGATGAATTAGCATTCCAAGGATGCATCACACAGCAGAGTAAGCAATGTGTCTCCAGACACCTCCTTTGGTGCTTGTGCCTGAGCAAATCTACAGATGCTGAGCCAGTGTGCAGGGATGGGGAGAGAGGGAGAAAATATGTGTTTGCTGGCAGGAGAGAAAGATTTTGTCTTCTGTGGAATAGGTAAAGTATCAGACCACTCTATTCTTTGCCAAAGCTGAAGTCTGTTTTGAGGGTATTCATGACTTTTGAGATTGTGTAATACAGACAGTCGGCACATCCATGTGGTCAATCTACCTTGGCTTATTTAAGTTTATTTAAGTCACAGTAGGTGGCAGTGTGGGCAGACAAATTAAATATTTACTGCTCACTGTTGTACAGTATGATGCAGTATTTTCTTACTGGAGCAGATTCCAAAACCAAGATAACAGCCTGCATTCTGTCTATTGCTATACATTATTTGCAATAGTTCTAAGTACCAGCCCAGTTTTGTAGGATATGTACTTTTACAAACCTTCTTGTACAAGTTTGTGCTTTTCTAAATATGCTTTTTTGTATGATATTTTGTCCAACTATGATTGTTTGAGTTGGGGAGTACTTTTACTTCAGCATTTTGTTATACAATTGGCCTTTTGACTTTTTGTTAGCTCTGTTAGAGCTATGCAACCACTTTAGTCTTACCTAGTTCTATGTAGAGGCCCCAGCTGATCCCCGAGAGCAGAGCAAGGGTGATGAGATCGCCAAGACTGGCAGCAATAGGTGTTGCCACATTGTCAGGGTTGATGCCCATCTTCCTGGAGCCAATGATTACGCCTATCATGATCATGCCTACACAACAAGCAAAGGGCATGTTAGCATTGCTGCAAAGGCACTGCAGTCAAAAGACCTCTCTTTTACCCCTTCCTTTCTTCTTACCCAGCACGAGAGAGGCTATGAAGGCTGTGGCCACACTGCTGGCACAAAGAAGAACAGCATGGCCCATGCTGAAGTGTCCATCTGGAATCCAGCCAAATATCACTGCAGCAATCGAGGCCAGAAAACCAACCACTGTTGCTTGAACCTTAAAAGATGCAGTTGGGTATTAGTGGAAGAAAAGAAATAACTTATGTTTCCATTCTTACTTGAATCTAAGAACATTTAACACTTGCCACAAACAGTAGAGCAGGGAGGGGCAGGCAAGTTGTGACCCTAGTCAGCACTGTCAAGAATGAGAGTTGCTAATCAGGACACTGGCTGGCCCATCAGGTTGCCCATCCCTGCAGGAGAGATTACTGGGTGCACTGGCCAACGTTGCATCCCCACTGCTGCCCGTGTCACCCCAGCTCTTTTGCTGTTGTTTACCTATGCAGAAGGCCTGGGCAGGCTTTTGGCTGGGTAAGGGGAAAAGGATACACGTCAAACAAATCTGGTGACAAGAGTGTCTGGCTCTAGACTGCTCAGAAACAGCCGAGTCATAGACAGCTGCAACTTGCAAGCCTGCCCTTCTGATCAAAGGCACCATCATCTTTCCCAGAATTCACCTGTATCAGTGCCATGTTCCCCGTTATCATCTTCCAGAGCTCTTTAGGAGTATCCATTTGCCCAATATTAGCCTGAAACAAAACCACACAATAAACAGTAAATTTATCATAAGGAAGTAATGTATAGTTTCTTCCAACAGCACTTTTTAAAGTAAGTTATATTATTTGTCTACCAACTAACAAAGAAACTAAAAACCATCAATCATCAGAAACATCAGACCTACTGGGTCAGCCCCCCGTACTTTTTTAAATAGTAATCCGTAAAACATATTTGAATCTATGCATAGTCCCATTTCTCTAGCCAATAATAAAAAGAGTTCCAAGTTTGATAGAAGTATGTATCCTCTTTCTTTCTCCTTCAGAGACAAAGTCAGTCTGTCCATTTCGGCACAGTCCAAGATCTTTTTTTAAAAACAGTTCATTGGTAGGTGGTTCTTCACTCCTCCAATGTTGGGCAAATGCAATCCTCGCCGCAGTGATTACATGTAGAATCAAATACATTGCTTGATTATCAACATCATCAGGTACAATGCCTAATAAGAAAACTTCAGGTTTAAATATTAGAGGTTTTTGTAACATTTCCTCAAGCCATTTATAGCATTTTTTTTTTGTATACAATGCAAGTATAGAAAAGAAGCATAATATATGGACTTCCCTTGGGTTAATGGGTTCAAAGTACCTGGCAGCAGTACAGTTATACATTTTTTAGGTATATTTTATCTGCAGAACTGAATTTTGTTTTAATTATTTTTATGCTACCTTTAGGAGTGGAACTCTCCCAAGATGGCATACATAATAAAAAGAACAATACAAAAAATTAATAACCCTGTGTTCAGTTATGCATATCATGCACCCACTCCCCTTCTAAACACATTGCTAATTATAGGCAGTTGTGGAATTCTAAGCTATCCTGAAAATTGGGAAGGTCATCTTGTACTTAAACAAGGTAGTTAGGCATTAATGTCAATTGTACTCAAAACTGTTTGAAAGATGAAACACACTGTTGGCAGACACCTAAGGGCAACTTCCAAGAAAGAACAGAACTGCTTTAGTTGGAATCTTGCCACTCTTCCAGAATAAGACAGTTTACAGTGAATTGCCTTGTTGGAAGGGGGAAAGAAATCAAAGGAGTTTTTCATAAAATAGTTATTGTCAACTGTCTTTCTAGGGGTGTTTCAAAGCTTGGACAGAAAAACAAGTAACATGTGAACTGGGAAATTATGAATATGGCCAGAAACAAAATCTACCAAAGCATCTAGTCAGAGTTCCTCCACTGTCATGAGAATTTTTGCCATCCATTTCCGTAACTTATTCATAGCTTATTTTTTGTCCCCAGCTTACAGAAGTCTAGGCAATGTGTGAATTGGCTCCTGGTCTGGTTTTCCCTTCATGAAATATAAGTTAGTTCTGCTGAATTTGGCTGAAGGGTTCTTGTTCTCTTGCAAAAGGGTTTGGGATCAACATAACTTGGCTATAGAAAACTTTTAATTCCCTGCACAAAAGATGGGGTATGATGGAAAGCCTTTCTAAAATGGCAAAGAAACTATTTTGAGAGTCTTAATATGGAGCTAATGAGAAGCTGTACTAAGCTTCCTTCCCACACAGCAAGCATAAGGACCAAGTCCCCAGAAAAACTACTGTAAGGCATCCCTCCTGAATTCTTCCCACCACAGGTCGTCTTCCTCTTGGATGCCTTTCTTGAAGAAAGGAGTCCATGTGATTTCAACACATGTGTACCCAAAACTGCAGCCTACAAGGTAATGAAGTTGATTTTTGATCAACAGCCAATAAAAGAATCAAAGCTGGGACTCGGCTTTTTGTGTGTGTGCCTCAAGCTGCATTACAAAAGCTTGTTCTAGAGAGGAGTTAATACATTTGTACCCCATCCCACTCAATGCAATTTTAACTAAATGCATGATTTGCAAAGAGCAAGCCAGGTACCAGCTCCTCTTCCAGTAGGCGACTTTAAACTGCCTTGCATAAAAGATTTACATGTATGGAGAAAAAAAAAAAAAAGGCAGCACCCAAATGTTTTCTGAAATATGCAATGATTATACATGTTTTTCACTATCTATACATGTAGCACTGGGAAGTCACAGCCTGTCACACAGCCAGGTGTGGCCTTAATGTAAGGTAAAGTTGTTGCCTCAGGCAAAATAGAATGATTGGAAACACAGTTAAGGTGATGGAGTGGGAGGCAGATCTGATTCATGGGCGTAATGCTCTGGAAAGTCTCCCTGAATGTGAGTGAAAGTGAAAATCATTGCCATGTTCTGCTTCGGGAACTAGGAAAGAAATAACGTGATGTTCATGTGTGACTATGCTTAAGTGCCATGCTTATGCCTACATGGAACTGCTGTCCTCTTGTGGAGTATGGCAGAACCAAAAACAGAGAACTAATTATTCACAAGCTTACTTACCCTCAGTTCTTCCTTTGCTGACTTTCTCTTATTTTCTGCCAGGTAGGCCAATTAGCTCTTTGACTTTATCAAGGCAAATGAGATTCTACAGAGTAATGCTGAACCTCAGTTTGGGCATGGTGGCAGGGAATGAGGGAGTTATTTTCCAACACACTTGGAGGGCACCGGATTGGAGAAGAGTTATATAGGAAAAAAAGAGACCATCTCAGCCATTTCAGAAGTCCAACTGATTCTCTTTCTCACCTGGTACCAAGTGACAGCAGTTCTCCAGGATCTTGGGCAGAAGTTTTCCCCAATTTTACTATCTAGCAGGGATGCCAGGGATTGACTCTGGGACCTTGCACATGCCATGTGTAATTCTCTTGCACACCTCTTATGGTGAAGGAAGAGGAATTGACTAGATGGTCCCTGACATACCAGCTCAACAGGGGACGGTTGTTCCAGAGCTATAATTTACCTTACCATCTGTCAGGTACATGAGGGTGAGCCCCAGGCAAACAAGCCACACTGTGAAGCCTTCTGTGTAGTGTGGCTTGTTGTGTTGTGTAAGCCTGCCCATTATTTGGCACAGTTAAGAAAACAGGTTTCTGAAGAATCAAGAACACAGCGAGAAGCAACACATCTTCTGCCACTGCCCATTTGGCCATGCTACCTGGGAAAGATGGTAGCATTGGTGGGGAATCTACTCTAAAATATATGAATTGTTGGGGAAAAAGGAACATGACTGCGAATATCAAGGGCACAATCAAGTTACAGAGGCTCCTGCCAAGGGGCCTCTGGTCATCACGGTGACCGAAAGAGCTGAAGCTTGTGTAAGCATATTCCAGAGCTGGAGTGCTGCTCACCAACAGCTGAATCCATCACTCTTTTAAAAGGTGGCTGACTGAAACAAGCTAGCTTCTACATTGTTCAGATCAGGACCGCTTTGATTCACAGATCCTGGCTCTACACATAACAGCTTGCCAGAGTCAGGAGGAGGGTGGGAATGAATAAAAAGCTTTCCACTCAGCAAGGGGGAGTCCCATTCCCTGCCAAGTCTCTCTTGCTGCCAAGACTATTAAGCTTGGCTGGAATGCAGCAGAGGCTTAAGTGGCACAACTGTGACACGAGGTCCCCTAAAAGCCCAGCTCACAACAGACCCACCAGTAGAACAGAAAGAGGACTCAAGCCATCCTGGTCACATGGAGCACACTGGAGGGCCACGTCAGTATAAAACCCTCATCTGTGGAGGGCTTTGGAAAGCTCTCTTAGGAGTACGTTCAGTGATTTCTCAGGGGAACAGACTGCAGAAGCTAGCAATAGCTTGGGGCCAGGAGGGTCTCTGCATTTTTTGAAAGACTATTCACTGCACTGTAAGGTTCTGTCTGTAACTGTACTCCCTCACCCACCACCAAAACAAAACATAAACAAAAAATTAGATGCCTTCTGCATGGACAAGCTCTTAAGTGTAGGCAGTGTCAATTCAAATTGGAATTACTATTAGATACTTGAAGTCCTAGCAAAAACAGAACCTTCCATCCAGGTTTTCCCATCCCCCTGCCAGGACAAAAAGCCTCTGGAAAATGTGGGTGTCCTCCCCACCCATCTTCCCCCTCCCATCTCTTGTCAGAGCCTTTGTGTCACTAACCACCACATAAAGAACGTGTCCCAAAGCATCCATGGAAATGAATCCACTGTTATTTCCAGCTGCTTGAAAGTAGACCAAGTTTCTGAAAGCAAAACATTATTGCATCTCTATGGATGTTCCACCTCTTGGCAATGTTAACATTCTCTATAGCACAAGTGGGCAGAATAAGTCTTAAGGATTGGAAGGTTGAGAGAATAATTGGGCCATGCAGCTGACAAGCCTTTTACTAAAAAGGGAAAGCAGGAGCTGGTGGCTTGAGAAGAATTTGCAGCTACTGTTTCTTGTTAGGACCGCACCCGGGCAGAAAGGATGGAAAAAGGGAGTTTGTCCCACCAACCACCAGACTGAAAGGTAGCGGCTGGTGCTAGTCAGCAACACTGCATCCAAGACATTTGACAGGAAAAGGAGGGCATGCAGCCAAGAAATAGCAGGGGCTGCTTGCAAGGGGTGGCTGGCATAGCTGGTACGCAAGCCACTTACACAGCAGCAGTATAGGATGCTGTTAGCATAAGCAATTTTGCCTCACTAGATTCATTGCTGCCTGGCCTGATGTTGGCAGGAGTTCTAGCGCTGTGTGTGATTATGCAAATAAGTATCTTTCCGCGGTAGCCCCACAGGGCAACCAGACTGTGCAACGCCAACGCTGCACCATGAAGGCACACAAGCCTCAAAATGCATCATTTACAACTAGTCTGAAAACAGTCTTGCCCAGCTTTCAACATTCAGGAGGGTGAAGACGGAAACAAACCCTGTTGGTGAACCAGTAACATGCCCTACAGTTGATTTAGGGGACCCACTCTCATTCTGTCTGTGCAATAGGCACAGCGTATTTGTTACCTTCCATAGAGCTTCTCCACCTAAGACTTATAACTCTCTGCATCTACTTTCAGATGCTACATGATCTGAACACCACATGGAATGTTTCCTTTCCTGCTTTTTTACAACATAACCTCTTGGTGGCACTGCGGTATAGAGGAACAGTGCAAATATGCAAAGAATTCTTTTTCTTTTTTCTTTTTGCTTTCACAATTAATGCTGCATGTTTCCTGCGCTAACAAAACCTCACCAAAAGTGCTGGTTAGACATAGAAATAAAATTGGAGGGCCATGGCATAGGCTAAGCAACATGTAAACAATTCACAAGTGCATAATAAATGCTCCATGTAAAAAAGCCCATAGAGCATTTGACAGAGCTGTGGTAAATAAAAGCCAGGCATTACGAGCAATAGTCAGACGGAAGGGAATGTTTACACGCAATTAACTGTTTAAGAGAGAGAATGCAGCTAAGGAAATGCTGCATCAGTGCAGGAAGAGTCAACTGAAAGTGGCAGGTCTGGGCCAGACAGTTAGGAATGTTTAAGTAGCATCATTCCAGACTCACTACTCTCTCATACTTCTCACTGTATTATATGAGAACAGACCATTAATTTGCATTTTACAATCTTAGCGTCCCCATAATACAAAGGTTCAGGGACATGCTACATGGCAGAAAAAATGTATGTCATGTTAGACGTGGCAGCTTCAGTCACTAGGTAGCTTGGCAAATGTATGGTTCTATTTTGTATTTTCTGATAATGAGTTGGGAGCATAGAACAAGTGGATGAGAGAGTGAAGGTTTTTTTTTTTACTCCTTCTGTACTGGTCGGTTCTGCACTACGAATGCCTGCTCCCCCAAGACCATTTTTCCAAAACCTCTCCTTTGGCTTAGAAACCCAACTTCAGGAATTTATTTTGGTCAAGGAACCCTCCAAACATGCAAACCTGTATGTCTCTAAACCTGCAATGCACATTACGTTCTAGTTGCACTAACACAGACACTCCATGTCTCTCCCATAATGTCTTTCAGTGCTTGTTGGGCCAGCCTCCATTCAAGCCTGCTTGTTAAATAACAAAATGCTCAATATGAAGATATATTTTAATATTATAAAGGATATTTAACCTGCACAAAAGGGATAGCCACATGCCTCCTTGTCCTGGAATCTACCCACAAAAACTGGCTTATGGCAGTATTTCTTGTCACTTCCCACAAAAACAGCTTTGTTTTGCTTTGCATCTTAAAAGTCTGAGGCAGGATGTTTATTCTGAGGGTATATCCTTATTGAATTAGTGAAAAAAAGGTTGAAATATTAAGCCCCAGGCAGGTGCTGTTTTTGTATTAAAATAATTGCAACTTTACAACTATGAGAGGGGAACCAAGGCAGCCAAAGAAATATTAAACCAGCATTCATCACACTGAGGCAGGAGGAGGAATATAAGGAAAAAAGTTAGTGTAGCCTCCCTCAATGTGGTTTCCACTAAATGTTTTGGCACCAGATCGGGGAAGGCTGAAATTTGTGCTGATGGGTTTTTAGGTCAAGCAGAAAAAGTGAAGCCATACTTCAATCACTTCATATCAAGTCAGCTTACCAGAATAATAGGATACAATTAGAGCAAACCTGTTATTTCTTCAAGAGTCTGGCATGCTGTTTACCTCTATATCTATATTATAGGGCTTGGGTGCTCTGTCTAATTCAAGCAAGCCCCAGAAAAGCAGCAACTTTACAAGGGGCTTACTAAAATTCTAGGAGCATGAATGGAGAGCTACAAATTATTTTACATCCTCCATACTGACACACCCAATCAATGAACTGCACTATGGTCAACAACAGGTTTTTCTTGCAAAAGGACATGTGTTCCAAGCACCCACATTAATACTACTAAAAACACAAAAGGTTCGATACAGATTTAAGGATATTCAGTTGCACTAGAAAAAGCAGACTCAAAGGCAATTGCTCAAGCACCTTGAAAATGGTACGCAGAGGAGTGAAAGTCTGCTGAATGGGGAAGGAAGAGGGGGATCTGTGAAAATCACCTTCTGTAAGTGCAGCCCATTTAGAAGTCAGATGCTGAATCTAACCCAAAATGTCTGACTCTCCTAACTTTATTTTCCTTATTTGCAAGTGCGCATAACAACAGTCTTAGGAATCTAATTCCAGACACATCAGAGTATCTGAATGTGGAAGTGTCTTACAGCAGTCTTCCCCAACCATGTATCTTCCAGACACATTAGACTGCAACACCCAAAATTCTGAGTCAATAGCCCTGCTGGATGGGAACTCTTGGAATTGCAGTCCAAATGTCTCTGAAGGCCAACAGGTTGGGGAAGGCAATCTTACAGCATTTGTTGTTGTTAGTCGCGAAGTCGTGTCTGACCCATCGCAACCCCATGGACAACATTCCTCCAGGTCTTCCTGTCCTCCACCACCCCCCCCGAGTCCTCACGCTGACTGCTGCAGTGACTCCATCCAGCCACCTCATTCTCTGCCATCCCCTTCTTCTTTTGCCCTCAGTTGTTCCCAGCATTAGGCTCTTCTCCAGGGAGTCCTTCCTTCTCATTAGGTGGCCAAAGTATTTGAGTTTCATCTTCAGGATCTGGCCTTCTAAAGAGCAGTCAGGATTGATCTCCTCCAGGACTGACCGGTTTGATTGCCTTGCTGTCCAAGGGACTCGCAGGAGTCTCCTCCAGCACCACAATTCAAAGGCTTCAATTGTTTGGCGCTCAACCTTCCTTATGGTCCAACTTTCACAGCCATACACTGCAACTAGGAAAACCATAGCCTTGACTATATGCACTTCTGTTGGCAGGGTGATGTCTCTGCTTTTTAGTATGCTGTCTAGATTTGCCATAGCTTTCCTCCCCAGGAGCCAAGTGGATTTATTATATAAACTATAATACTGGTTGATTCTTGGTTGCTTTACAACAACCATGATGAATAAATTAAAATGGGTCTTACACTGAGAAATACTTTGTGTCTTGGTGGTGGTGGGGTGATAAAGCAACAAACGAATGAGTAGATGAATGGACAGGAAGTTACACAAGGCAAAGCTTCTGCCAACTCTTTCATCCATCTGCAGCCTCCCACACCATTCTCCAGAGTCTCCCAGCCGCATGAGCAGATGTACAGGGGCTGCAGAGGTAGAAAGTACCATTCTATTTGGGCTTTTCTGGCCACAAAGGAAATTTGAGATCCAAGCTATACTGTGCTTTCTGTTGTGTTTCCACACTTGGAAACTCAAACAAAGGCCATTGGGCATATTTAGACTTCCACTTGCTTACATGCAGATGCAGTGAATCTAGGAGCTGCCTATATTGGTTCAGAAGTGTCTGGCCATGCCTCATAGCAAAGCAGAAAACCATGCTGCAGTCCTAGTGACAGTGGCCTCATGTGATACTTCACCAAAAAAGTAAAAATTGCAGCTACACATGTAGAATCCTCACCTTGGTCTAACTCAGCCCTCCCAGGTGCCCTCCAGATGTTTTAGGCTATATTTCCCATCATTCCTGACCATTGGGGCTGATTGAAATTAATGTCCAAAACATCTGGAGGGCACCAGGTTGGGAAAGCTAGCCTAGCTTCACACAATCTCTGCGTTCAAAATTATCGTGCTAGTTCTAGAAATCTCACCATCTGCAATAATTAAAGAAGCCCTTTCTTATTATAAGTCCAGAGTTCACTTTAAGGGTTCCAGAAACTCTAAGATAACATTACTTCAAACTACTTCATGTTCAGCTGTTCAAACTAGACCAACTAGTCTAGTGATCCTATGGGCCAAATCTTGCACACTTTTCAATCCTGTGCCACCTCTTTCAGCTGAACTATGCTCTGGTCCATCTCCTCATTGATGGAGTCTTACCACCTCGCTCTTGGGTGACCTGGTTTTCTCTTGCCACTGAACATTCCAAGCATTTTATCTTTTTCTAATGAGCTTGATCACATGACATGGCCAAAATAAGTGGGTCTCAGCTTTGTTATCTTGCTGACCAGGGACATGTCTGGTTTAATATGCTCCAGCACCAGCTTGTTCGTCACCCCTGCTGTCCATGGAATGCGCAGGAGCCTCTGCCAATACCACGGCTCAAATGAGTCAATTTTCCTCTTGTCTAACTTTTTCAGTGTCCAACTTTCACAACTGTAGGTTGCTTTAGGAAAAATAATTACTTGAACCAATCTGCACTTGGTTGCCAAATGTTTTCCGCACTCTACTCATGCTTGTCATTGCCATATGATCTAGTGCAATTTGTTGCTTTGTTTCTGGACTGCATTCACTACTGCAAGTAATCAGTGACCCCAGGAAAGTGATCCACTACACATTCAGTTTCCACATTATCAACTGCTATCCTGATGGCTTCATTTTGTACAGATATATATGCCAAAGAATAAAATATATCTTACCTGGCAATAGTAAAATATATGCCAGGTAAGAAATAATGGCTATCCACTTGCCAGTCGTAAAGCTAAGATACTCACAGCTGTAGAAAGTCGAGAAGCTAGTGTCATCTCCAAGTTCCCTTTCAGTCCCAGAAGTGCTGGAACCAAGATGAATACTTCGGTTACATACTTGAAGACATCCCAGTGCTGCAAAACCAAGAAAAGCATTCAGAATCAGCAGAAAGCTGTTATTCTTGAACTGTATTACATTAAACTCTGGGTTTTCCCAACAGTTTATCAGAGATTGCAGAGGAAATCTGCAGCAGCATTGCTATAAGGAAGATGTTTATTTCCTACTCTTGATGTTCTTCCGCCATGCTAGGAGAGTTTTGGCCAAGCATGAGAAGGAGAGCAATATATACTTAATTTTTCTACAGGGACAGCATCTGGACACAAATGAGTGTGCTGTACTGGTCACAGAATCCTCTGTACAAGAATATCATGGGCCATTTTGCAAAAGGTTTCTCAACAGCTTGCAGAAAGGTTTGTCAAAGGCAACAAATGATTGCATCCGTGATGAACAGATTCTGCTTATTGATGAACAATCCACCCATTTGCCTGAAATGTTATGGACTAGATCTTGGAAACAGAGATAATTAAGGCTGAAACTCTATACAGAATCCATTGAACACATTGGAAATAACTTCTGAACAAGCATGCCTGTGAGTGGCTAAAGGATGCAAGATGGAATCCTGTCTTCTTGTTTTCCAATTAAGTTCTTATAAAAAACAGAAGTGTGGGCAGAGGCAAAAAAGGAGGCAAGTAGCACAAATAAACTCATTTTCCCTCATGCAAAGACCTGTAAACACCCTGTCCCTTCCAGGATAAATCTGATCATTCTGTATGAAGGGCAAAGTAAAGGTTTCTTAGGTAGTACTAATTACAGAGCAAAGATTCTAAAGTAGTAAAAGCTCCAGGCAAGAAATAAAAGTTTCAAAATAGACACAAAAGATTATCTTTTACTTTCTAACAACGAGGACGTCCAAATATAATTTAACAGTTCAGCACTGTCACGTCTAGTTTCTACTTAATGCAAGAAGGGAAAGAGCATTTTGGAATGGATGAAACCTCAGTGCTCTCATACTCACCCTCCTATGTATGTCAGTCCTGGCCAGGTGGAATGAGGAGAACAGAGTTATACTGGTGGTGGTAGAGGTAGTGCAAGAAGAGTGGAAACCTTCTCTCTGTGAGTTTCCTTGACTCAAATTAAAATTCAAGTCCACGTTCTAGGTGGCACCTAACACAAAGTCATGGGCCCAGTTTATATGTTGCAATCACATGGCTTTTTTTAAAAAACAACAACAACAACAACACGGATTATTATGAACAAAGCAGAAGTGAGTATTTGTGCTGGCTGCCATTGCCCAACTGCTTCCATTACAAGTGGAAGGAGTAAAATAATCCGGGAATGTGAAGCAGGATTTCAGTGTTTTGTGGAGAAGGACACATCAGAATTCCATGTCATAGTTAAACCATGAGCTGCAACCCTGGGCTGTTTCTACCCCAGCAATGTAGAAATCCTGGGTTGTTTATGTCCACTAGGAGCAATGGAGCAGCAAAATCTAGCACACTGGCTCCCACTTCATTCACAATAAGAGCGGATTCTAAAACATCCTGGGTTGCTGTGATGTCCAAATTAGGCCATGCTATAAGTTATTGAAATCTAACTTGTTATTTTGTTTGTGGTAATAGTTAGCAAATGATGTTGTACCTGAACTAAACTAGGGCTCAAAGAAAAGCCATGGTTGTTGGCTTAGGAAGTATGTCTTGTTTAAACCATGGCTAGTTGTATTGATTGAAGCCAGAATTATGGCTTATTCCTGGCTTGTTTGCATTGCTCTTTGTCCTGAGACTGAGGTGTTCAGCAAGAACATCCTGGAAACAAACCTGTTCTGAATGCTAGCAAAATGGATGGAAGAGCAGTAAACCAGAAAGAGATAAACTATGGGCAGTTTGTTCATCTCCAAAACAATGATCTGTTTTACTCCTAACAACTCAGAATAAAGATTGAGTACAGGTTGTTCCACACCCAACAACACATGAGATTGGTTATCACTGAATTGTGCACTGTCAATAAGTGTGAGTTATGTGGGAACCACGTACTACAGATGAATTCAGGGTTGCTAGCTGCAAACAAGCCAGAGTTCACAAACTATGGTCTCGCTTTGCATTGTTTGTGGTCCACAAAGCTTACTTAAAACCACTGTGAAGTGCTTGCATGACAACCTATGATCCAACAAGCAGCCACAATTCAACCCATAATCTGTTCTGAATGACAAACAAACTTGTGACTAAAGCAAAAAATCTTGGTTGACCTAAATCATGGCTTAGTCCTGTGCACAAACACAACCAATATGCCTTGACCCCATTGCGCTCCAGGCATGCTAACTGACCAAATGACAGTTGAAGCTGTAATAAGGAGGTAGAACTGCCTTGCTGAACAATCTACTATGAATCTATTGCTTCTGGCTGTGCTCTCAAAAAGAAAAAATGCACTAAAAGGTAGGCAAAATACCACAGGAACATTAAAGTAGGGGGTACATAGAAGCCTCTAAACATATTCCCTTAAGCAGAACATTGCTTCAAGGTGCTTCTCTTCCTTTAAGGTCATGGACAGAAGCCAGCAAACTCCATTTTCCTCACTGGTTATTTTTAGGATTGATTGGCAGACCGTTGTGCAACACTAAAGAGAGCAGATCCTTTCGTTATATGTTCCAAATACATAGACATTAAATCAATGTGAGCTTAAGGTTGAAGAAAGTTTGAAGTTGGCAGTGAGAACAGTTGGGCCCATAATCTAAACACATTTCATTTAAACTTAGTTCTGCAAGCAGAAAAACAAAATTCTAGAAATCTAAATAATATTTATGTTATTTTGGTTATTATCATGAAAGTGATCTAATGGAAGACAAAAGTTTAACATAGGCTTTTACACATGAAAAGTAAAAACACAAAATATTGCCAGTTAAGAATAGATATAGGTAACTTTAAAAGATAAAAGTACCTACACTGATGGCTGGATTTGGATGATCATCAGTGGAAAAGCCATAGTGGTTCCTTTCCCTTACCCCCAGCATGCTGCCTGATTTTTATAATTACCTTTGTAGCATATGTCTTCTCAAACTGTCTAGACCTGGCAAGGAGCATGGTAGGTCTGGCTTCAAAACCAACCCAGTACCCATGGCTTGTTGTAGAGTTTTGGGATGGTTTAGAAGCCACATAGGCACCTCACTGCACACCTCACAGGGTTCAGACAACATGGGGAGCTGTGCATTTTGAAGGTAATCATGGAGATCATGCAGTGCCCAAATGGCAAATGGTGGGGGCATGGGAGAAAGAAGACACCATGGTTTCTTTTCCCCTAGTGATCATCTGAATGCAGCCAATGTTGTAACTGTGAAAGTTGTAAAATACTAGCATAAAGGCATTTTGTATGCCAAACCTGATTTCTAAAGTAGAAGGGAGGGATACTGGGAAAAACCATGCCTCACATTTTCTTAGAAGAATACTGCACTCTTTAAAAAGTTTGTAATATTTCATATAATCCTAATAGTAAAAAGAGCAGAATCCAGAATCTGAGGCTGTAGTTACACGGACACCACTGCCACTACCATTCTAATCCACCCCCTGCATCTTGCCCACTTTCGGTGCCACTAACTTAGTAGCATCAGGGATCTAGATACATTCACAGCCCAAAAAACAAACGAACAAAAAAAAAAAAAACACCACAAAAACAAAACAAAAAAACTCCCCACAAAAACAAAAAACCACACAAAACAAAAAACCCTCCACTTTTTTCTTGGAGCCTTGCTTTTTTGACTCGTTATTGGGGTTATTTGGGGCACCGATTCAGAAAATTGCATTGGTTAGGCTGCATTGGCTCTAGTTTCTTAGATATGGTCAAATTTATATAACTTTTTAGTCAGTTTTTGAAATGATCTTGCTGATCAACTTGTTCTTCTGTTACCTAGTTGATGTTTTTGTGTACAAGTTAGCAGATACAGTGAGTGTATTTACATACTTCCAACTGTAATTTTACATCAAAAACAACGGATTCTAAAGGGCAATTTATTAACTGCATAATAGTCATGATCATATAGGAGGTGTGTGTACATTCCCACTCATATCTTTTCATTTTTGCAGATCAAGCACCATAGAGATTATAGCTACTTCACAATGATGCTGCCTGAATTATCACAATGTATTTTGCTATATTTGTGGGGAGTACGCCCGGTACGCAAGTAGGAAACCTCGTTAATGACCCACATTTCATAGAATCAATGAATGAAACTGAATCTTGTGTCTGGTCTTCATTTGTTCTCATTGTGAAAACTTCCTTGGCAACAAGAAGGCAGACAACTATATTCAATTAGTAGAGGAGATGCTCTTTCAACTGGCTGGGCTGTAAAATGAGTGTTAAAATCCTTTATCTGCACAGTCACTTAGATTGCTGTCCAGAGAACCTTGGTGACTTAAGTGAAGAGCAAGGTGAAAGATTTCACCAAGACATTAAAAACAATGGAAGGCAGATAGCAAGGAAGATGGGATGCACACATGATGGCAGATTACTGTTGGAACCTTACACAGGATTGTCCTGCCATTTCCCATTCTCAGAAATTTTACAAAAGCAGCTGCTTCTGTGTTGAATGATTGGAATGTTTCTATCATAAACTTGTGCCTTTGAAATAAGCAGATTTAATGTATTTTACTTTTCTTTTAATTTTGTTTCTTTTATGCTATAAGGAGATTAAATAAAACACTACATTAAAATATCCTAATTTTTGATGGGCGACCAGAGTGAAGAATAGTATATGGCATTTATTCTGTATCTCAAAAACTTGAGATGATAGGAAAAAATTGGTACCATTTTTTGGAATCAGCGAGTCAAATATACCCAGGAACAGGTCTAACATTCAAGGCACCAAAATCTGTGTTGGCCAGTGAATCTATTCTGAAATAAAGATGAGCTATTTTTAGAGCTGTAGTCTTGAAGAACATCCATAAAACAGCTTCATACTTTTACAGTTTCTTTGGTGTACCACCAGAACACTTAAATCAGCCTTCCCTAGCCTGGTACTTTCCAATTGCGTTGGACTACAACTCCCAAGAAACATAGTCTTGAGGAGCCTTGGATAGGGAAGTGCCCG